AGGAAAAAGAGGAGGAGAGAATATGAAAATCCGGGCTTGCATGTAATGTGATTTTAGGAAAGAGAAATGACATATTTTTTCGCAAGCCTTAATTACGCCGGATGGATGTCTGTTTCTTCCCTTCCTATTTGGCCGGCCAGAGACGTGAGATTTTTTTTCACGAGCATTAATTACGCCCAGATGAACGTCCGTTTCCCCTCCTTCCTATTCGTCCAGGCAATTTGAGATTTTTTTTCACAAGCGCTTACGACTGGTGGACACCGTTTGGCCGTAGGTTTCCGTCTATTAGTGGCATATGATGAGACGTGATCACGTGATTCTCGCGTGGAGTGGCATTTTTAAGGAAGAAGCGCCGTGTGGGCCATTGTGGGGGGCGATGACGCCGGGAGGGATAACGAGCATGGGATCGCACGCAGGCAGACCGACGACCCGGTGTTGGATTGTCGCACCAAAACGGTGTCCACTTTTTAGTCTTTTTAGACGTGATGAGAGAAGAGATTGATGAGCCATGCTAATGTGCCGCTTGTGGTTGGTGTGGTCTTTGATGACGGCAGTTTCCTTCTTGATTGGTTGCATGGCTTCCTTCTTGATTGCACATGCATGATTCCTGTTTGCATGCACCATTGTGGCGCCGTGCATGGAAGGTGGTCTGTTTACTCGGTTTCACGTAATCCTTGATATTCTTTCTTCCTTCAAAAAAAAGAATGGATATTGGTATATAATCAATCATTTGTATATATAGTCCCCATTTAACAAATTGTATTGCTATAATTGTGCATGACTAATTTGGAAAGAAGAATTTTGTTGCAAGGGATGGGTGTAGGAGCGAGGGCTGCAGGAACGCAGCAGGCAGAACTATGGGCCTTCGTTGAAATGTCGCATTAAAAGGTGTCCACGCTTTGTTCTTTTTAGTTGTAGGAGAGGAGATTCTTTCATGTATTTTTGGCACCTGGTTGGACGTTTTTGTCCTTCTGTGATTTGTGCAGGGTTACGTACCTGGAAAGACCGACGGCTTCTTCTCGAGCCTGGGCCTGTCCATGTTTCTATCGTGGCGAGGCCCGGCGGCGAGGCGGCGGTGGCCAGGGTGCAGAAGTGGGGGATGGTGGTGGCCGTGGCGTCCGTGGTCGTCGCGTTCTCGCTGCGCGTGTGCATGATGCCCGCTGTCGCTGCGTAGTTGGAGGCCGGCCGCGTGCGCGTGCATGGGGTCATCTCCTCGCCGCGCCGGTGGTGCCGTACGTGACACTCGCTCGCTCGATCGTACCCGACCTGGCCGGCCGGCCGTCACTGCACGGCGGTGCGCAGACCGAGGGTTGGAGCGGTTCGGACGACGACGGTGGACTTGACCTTGACTTGGGCAGAGGATGCATTATACGTATTATAGGAGTATCCTTTTAACGATTCGTGTACAGCATTGGTAAATCCGTGTATGTGTGTGGACATATTATATAGAGAGTCCACGGCGGCTTGCGGGTCGATCGGCAGCCGCCGTCCGCCGGCGTGCATGGTGTACAGATGTTTCGGTATACAGAATCATGTGTTAATAACTTCCAATTCGATGCACCTCCGCTCCGATCAGCGCTCATCAGTGATGAAGCCGTCCGACGGCTGCAGCGCGAGACCTGGGCGGCACGTCGATTTCGCCATGCGCGCGGCGGCGGTGCACATGCATGTTCCCGGAACGGAAAATGCCCGGCTCTCCATCCATCGCCATCCAGATGCCAAATCACAGAAGGGCAGGCTGCCGCCGCTGGTCTTTTCCAGGTACATAACCGTGCACAAATCACAGGAGGACAAAAACGTCTAACCAGGTGCCAAATACATGGAAGTATACTAGAAAAGGGAGAAAATACAAAGAATGGCAAGAAAATCAAGTGTCAAATGTTTGGAGACCTGTTTTTACGAAGTCGAGATTTGGAGTCCCAAAACTACGAAGCGCGACGATTTGAGTCCCAGATATGCAACCATAACGAGGTTCTCCACAGATTCGCACGGTGTCTGGGCTCCTTCAGCAGACTTATCTCTGCCTACAGCAGAGGCCTGTCTGCGCTTCCTCTTCTTCCAATAAAGATGTAGGTTTTCTTCACGTTCTACTCTCCACTATTTTTTTTTTGGGGTTCCCTTACTGATATTCTGCCCTTAGGTTGCCGTTGGAAAGACAACTGCAGCTGCTTCCGTTGGAAAAACAACTGCAACTGCTTCAGAGGTAATAAACGCCCAGAAGGGATCCTTGAAGGTAATAAAGGCCCAGGTCTTGTGCAAATTGATGTCAATGAAACATGTACATGTTTTTAGGAGTTTTTGGAGTCTATAACTGTGTGTTGCTTTGCTAACTCATGCTTTGATAATTATTTTTGCACGAACTATGTTTTACTCGCGTATACATATGGTTGCTTTCATCCTGTGCAAAACTAGGATATTCAGGCCATTATGGATTTTGGCTTCATGTTGATTTTCTTATCTAATGAGTCTAGGCAAAAGTAAATGAAGTTTTGTTGCAGTTGCGGTAAAATGGTTCATATGGTGCTTTCTTACACACCTGTCAGCTGGTAGTTGCTAAACATATTATCTGCCTCCACAGGGTCATGTTGATTCGGGGAGCCTGAAGCAGCTAGAACGTAGGATTTTGAAGTTGGAGGTTCGAAGCAGCTTTTACAAAAAATTTAAATGGGTGCTTGTCGGTCCTATCATTTGGACTCTTATGGCAATTTCATCAGCGATCAACATTCATCATGGTGCATCCTCAGTGAAAGAGAAGCAGAAGAACACAGCTGAGAAACTCTCCGAGTTGAAAAGGCAAATCAAATACTTAGAAGGTACTTGAAATTGTTGTAGTAACACAATCTATTGTTACAGGCATGTCAATTTTTTGCAGCAGTACTGCGGTAGGGATTGTCCCCCTGACCTCTTTGGTTCTAGCTGCTTCCATTTTGTCATACCCCCTGTGGTCTTACATTTGTCAAGTAATATATTTGGTAATATTTTTTTAAATAATTTTCCAATTTAGGCATTATTGAAGACTAAGTTTGAATAGCAACAACATACAATAGAAATATACTACAAAAGTCCAAACCAGCAATCAAACCAGCACTGGTTAAACTAGGGGTCTAACAATGTTAGTGTGTTAAATAATTGTTACCTAGTCTGTTCTATGATGTATATGAAACTTAAGAATGTGTGTGGCTTAGTTTTTAAAGATCTGTGAAAACTTTTGCTCAACTTGACCAGGCCAGCTACTGGTTCTGGGTTATAGAATTGCCCGTGTGTCCCCATATAGGCTGCAACAAGGATACCTTATATTTTTGCTAGAGGGTTTTCTCTAATTTCCCCATCCCCTTCCTCTTTCCTCTAAGCTATTGACTTAATGACAATTCCTTTCAGGGAGGATCAACTAAGGATAATGTTGAATGCATTATGATGCTTTGATCACTGTCTGATGTGAAGACTTCCATGAGCATATCTTTCTTAGTTTATTTCAAGTCTACATTATGAACTTGTAACTAAGTAATCATCTGTATGATGATGTTTATGTTACTGTCATTTTAGCACTGTCTGATGTGAAGACTCACATCCTTCTAGCAGCTTTCAACTTTACATTCTGAACTTGTAACTAAGTAATCATCTGTATGGTTATGTTTTATGTTACTGTCATTTACTTTTACATGCAATACGTTAATTGTCTCACGTTAGAATCATTGGGGTCTGAAGTTTCAAATCTGGCCAACGATATGGTTAAATTATCGATCTCTACACGAATTATAACTCTACACTTGAAAACTCTGGCACGGCTTTTCTGCGCCCTTGTTGGATTTCGCTAGGTTAGCAATTTTTTATTGTCTTTATAATATTTGTAGCAAAATGTTTCCTATAGATTAGTACCATGGGGTTAGTACTTGCTCCACAAGGTTGAGCTATGGGATCATACATTACTTATCTAAAAAAATGAGATCATCCATTACTAGGGTCGGTACTTAGTGCAAAAGGTTGGGGTACAAGATCATCCACTACTGATAACTGATGATTTTGAAACAGCAATAGCATAATATATGTAAGAGAACCAATGGTCAATTTTGATAGAAGTAATGCCATTCTTACACCAAAAGTGTACCACTAGTACTAATAGTGTCAATGGTAAATTTGGGTAGAAGTGATGATTCGATGCACACCATGTGAGGTCTGAGTACAGTGCAACTAATTCTCAGAGTTGAAAGACGAGGCATACATTAAGCAACTGATGTGAGATACAAAATTAAATATAGAAATAAGGTATTTTTGAAAGATTTAGGGTGCATCAAATCAAGTATTAGTTTTTTGCAGAACAATCAGTTATAAAAGCAATGCAACAGTACAGTTTCCTATAATAATTAGATAGAATGTTTCTATGGTATTCCTGTATAATGCAAAGCTTTGGTACAGAATTAACGTACTTCACTTAAGATAAGGATCAGATTTCTCAATGCGATTCCATGTTTTCTAGGGAATTCTTTCATCGGAATGAGAAGCAATAAGAAATGCACATCCCAAAGAAAATAACAAACTTTATACAGTGGTGGAATTGCCATATTAATGCTCTTCTTTTCAATAATCTAACAAATGTTGAGATAGGTAGCAATTGAATGATAGCTGAAGTAATACTAAGACCCTCTTTGGTTGAGTTTTTGAACCTGCTTTTACTTTTGCAAAAGCCAAAAACCAATCAAAGCGTCCAAAAACCTCAGAGGTTTATGCCCAAAACAGCTTTTGCCTTACTATACAAAACTGAAAATAGCTCTCCCTCTACTTTCAGCTGCTTTTGGATCAAAAATTAGCCAGTACTGGTGACACACGTACCTGTTCGTTTTTTTCCCTTCTTTCTTTCCCGTCCGCGTGAGAAACAGAGCTCACAACCGTCGAGCGCGGGCGAGCCCGCCGTCGACCGCAACTCCGGCCTCTCCGGCGCTCCTCCGTGCCGCCTCCGCAGGCGCCCTCTCCCTCCACTCGGACGCCCTCTCCCTCTACTTCGGCTACGACTCCGGCCTCTCTGGCGGTGCCCTCTCCCTCCTCTCCGGTCGTCGAGCACATCTTCTCCGGCGGCGACCCTCTTCCTCCACTCCGGCGGCATCGTCGCGCTCCCTCTCGTGCATCTCCAGGCCGGCGGTGGCCCTCTTCCTCCACTCCAGCAGCGTCGTCGCGCTCCCTCTCGTGCATCTCCACTTCTCGAGGCCGGCGGCGGCGTCAGGCTGCTCCCACCAGCGGCCCCGGTGCGGGCGCAGCTCCGGCGGGAGCTCCGGCGCGCGGCCCTGCCCGGCGATCCCCGGCGTGGGCGCAGCTCCGGCGGGAGCCCCAGCGGCGGGCGTGGCCACCACAGCGAGCTGCGAGCCTCGCGGCTGCCATGGGTGAGCGCAGGCTCCTATGCGCTGTCTTCCGGAGACGGAGCTGCCCACCAGCGCGATGGTCATCCCCGCCTCTCCCTTCTTCTCTGACCAAGCGGGCAGCTCCAGTATCTGCTCCTCTGCCATCACCGCTGTTCGCCGTGAACCACCCTCCACCGCTCCTCTATCCCTTCCTGCTGCACGGTAATGCTTGTTCTGCTTGCTGCGTGCTCTGTGCCTGCCGTGCTGTGTAATGGACGAGCAAGCATGTCACCTCGCCGTTTTCCTATAGAAAAATAAAAGAAGAAATACACCTAGAATACACTTGTACCTACCCTATACAGGCAACAAGCGTGAACCATCCATCCATCTCTTGATGCTTTTTTTGTTAATGCAAGAGGAAGATAATTATACTGATGGATGACAAGTCCTTTTACCTTCTGTAAATAAAGTATTTGTTATATTTTTGTGGACTATATCACCAAGATGATGCAAAACTTAGAAAATTTATTTTTTCATTCATTCTAAAATATTCATTTACATGCGAATCAGTGAACAAATTAGTTATTACAGGTATTTAATACAAAGCCTACAATTTCACAGCCGCTTTAACCAAACAGTCTTATGTCTTTTCCCACAGCTCTTTTCCACGGCCCACAGCTCACAGCAGCTTTTTCAAAAACCGAAGCTCAACCAAACAGGGCCTCAAAGAAGGGAGTGCGTATGAATTACCTAGCGGTACTATATAACAGTTTGCAGTTTGCACTACAATGAGCAGGTAATCAGCAGATTAAACTACGAGAGAATTATGTATTTGGCACTAAAACAAATCGGTCTTTCATATTTGGCACTAGAAAATTTAAACTTCCTTATCTAGCATCGAGTTGAAATTTTCTTTCGTAAATGGCACTGCCATCCATTTAGACCAGTAACGGTGGCCAGTGGCTAGCAAAATGACATAAATGACCTTGATTGTAGCAAAAGTCTAGGGTGCTAAATAAGGAAAAAATAAATAGACATGTTGTCAAATAAGAAAATCATAAATATACTTTGAACTAAAATGTGGATTTTTGATAATTAAAGACTGCAAATAAATAATTAATAAATTTTAAATTGGTAATAGCAGGTACAGATTATGCCCTCACTCTTCCTTTCATCTTGGCCATAGATCAAGGATGCATGGCTCAGGATGGTTTCTGGTTGAAATACGTAACTTATATTTTCAATGTATTTATCTTTTAGTTTTCTAAAAGAAAATGAGAGTATATGTCGTCATCGTGGTTCAAGAGCAGAGCACACCGTGCATGGCTTGGCCGGCGTTTGACGCCGAGCGCACGTGGCCGGCGGAGCACGCGGCCCGGGCAGCGCGGAGCTCGCAGCCGGGGAGCTAGAGGCCTGGGCGCGCGGTGGCTGGCCGTGCCCGTGCGGGCGGGCATAAACAAATGCGGGTCCAAGGCTCATCAATTCATTCATGAACGCAGTTAGGCACAGAACCATTGCCATTTGCCACCCCGGGAGGGTGTGAATGAAACTGATTACCATGGCACCCGAGTAGCTAGCAGGGATTGCAGGAGCAACATTGCCCGTGTCGCGGCGGGGCAAACGAAGAAGCTCGGAGAACACTAGACGTCTCGTCGCGATCCCCCGTGCGTTTGGCATATTTAACCCGCGGCCGCACGCGAATGCTCCCACCCTCGCTCTCACGCCCACCCACGGCGCGCGGCTGATCCCCGCTCAGCGCTGACCCCTCGCCTCGCCTCCGCCAGTCCGTAGCCCGGAGCGAGCGAGCACCTGCTCCCGCATCAAGACAAGCTTCAACTCGCGCATTTGTTTATGCCCGCCCGCACGGGCACGACCAGCCTTGACGGTGCGCGGAGCACGCGGTGCGCACGGGCACGGCCAGCCACGGGCGCGCAGTGCGCGGTGAGCCGGGGAGCTCGCGGCCTGGGCGTGCTGCTGCTGCGCGCAGGAGATGCCGCGTTTTGCGCAGGAGACGAGCCGCCGCTGCTGCTGCGAGCTGGGGCCAGAGGCCGCCGCGCCTCCGCGAGCTCCTGGGCAGGAGACGAGCCGCCGGCCGCGAGCAAGCATAGAGGGTATTTTGGTGCTTTTGAAAGAAACATGGCAGGGCCAATACAGTCAACTGACGGATGAATGTACTAAATGGACGGTAGTGCTATTTACATAAGTAAATTTTAACTCGATGCCAAATAAGAAAGTTCAAAATTTTTAGTGCTAAATAAAGAAGACTGATTTGTTCCAGTGCCAAATACGTAATTGCCCCTTAAACTATTGCTAGGCCAGTGGTCAATCCGAATTAGAATTAGGAATCTGAGTTGAGAAATTAGAAATATAGAAAAAAGAAGATTCCACACTGCTAGCGTCTTTAGTACCTTCATAGATTACTTGGAGGCACCTACAAGTTCTATTACATACAAAAATATATGTGTAAGAGAAAGTAAATGGTAAATTTGGATAGAAGTAATGGAGTACAATTGTTTCAATCATTACATTTTACCTATGCATATGGTTTGTTTAGCTCTGGATAATAAATGTGACATATTCTTGGAGCTAATCTCTCATGTATGCAATGGCCTTTGCAGGTTTCTGAACCTCTATGAGATCTCCCAAGTTCAGATCACTGAACAGTCTAATTGTTGGGGCTACATAGACATTTTATTTATGAATTATTGATCTAAGCAACTCAAATGACAATGGATAGAAAACAGTAGCATCAGTGTTGGGCCTGGTTCTAGAATGTGAAGAACCCAGTATGACGATTAAAAAGAACAAAGGAAAACAATAAGGAAGTCTATTATTGATTGAAGTGCAATCAAAATAAGTTTTACAAAATATACATGTGAAGCAGCTATTTGTATTGCACCTACCGATATAGCTGCAAGAATATATGAGATAAAGCAGAGCAGGGCAGAAGGCAATCCATAGATGCAAATAACTATTTTCTATAATATATACAACGAACAAATTTTCATACTGGACTGGTGAAGGGCCATTCAGTTCTCAAATCTAACTAATAGCTAAGTTCTTTACTTATCGGTTAATGGAAACGTAGATTAAGCCATTAAGAAATGCTAAAGGCTGCTTACAGTTACAGAAGAGAGCCTCACTAAGGATGAGGAAGACAACCATGAGCACATGCCAACCCATTTCTTGGTCACAGGTTGCACTGAAAACATTGATAGTGATACACAGGCTACTCAGAGAAGGCGATGGCACATTCAAGGAGGATTTCCTAACCTATTCATGTAGAAGAAACATTCTGCAGATCCCACCCATTAGGTGGCTCTGCATGGCTGCTAGCGGCTCACAGGAGAGCTGGTGCGAAATCACTGAACTCATGTCAATCTCTGACTGAACTCTGTTCCTCAATATGCACTGATAGAGATGGGGATAGTACAAAATCAGCAACCTTTTTTTTTTTGCGGAGATAAAAAAGGGGGAAAATCATACCTTATGCCCATTTCATCGAACACGTCGAGGGCATCGTCCATGAAATTATTGACGCCAGTATTGAGGTCGATTGTGGGCGGGCACGGAGGCTGGAGATGCCCTTCATCAGCTTCTAGCCTTCTGGGCCTCTGGTGCCCTGTCCATGCGAGCGCAGGCACAGGCTGCGCAAGGAGCCTGCCCGCCATCTTCGGGAGCATGGGCGTCCGCGGGCGCGACGGCGCGACTGCAGGCAGGCGAGGCCGAGGGGAAATTCGAGAAAGAGCGAGAGGAGGCGACGAGGTCGTTAACGGGCACCCGCATGCTATCAAGTGGACCATAAGCGGGCGGAGACCCGACCGCTCCATGATGGGATGTTACAGAAGGTGCTTTCGGTCTGTTCGCTCGGAGAAATTCTGGATGAATTTGGATGGTTTGGAGGAATGCTGGAGAAATTTGTGATAGAAAAACACTGTTCCGAATGAAAAAAGAAACGGATCAAGCCGGATTTAAGGGCACGCGAACGGAGCCTTTGTCTAGATCCGACGGCTAGCTGTTTAGCGCGTGATGTGGCCCTATCGGGTACCCGCTTTTGGTGCAGGATTCGTATTATAGAGAGAGATGGGCTGACTGGAGTAGGGATTGAGATTCCTGATTTTACATTCTTGGGTTTTCACTCCTATTTAGCAGAGTTTTTTTAAAAAAAAATAGCTCTGGCTCCTCTATGGTCCTAACAGAATGTCTACCAAACACTAGTGCGACTGTGCGAGAAATGGCTCTCGAGTGAAGCTAGTCATTTTTAAACTACAGAGATGTAAGGGTCGTTTGGCACGGCTCCGGCTCCATCTGCATGGGCACTGTGCAGCCCTGTTTACCCTGTAGCACGGAGCTGCTCGGCTCTCGCTCAGCCAAAAATCAACGGGGCGAGTGGAGGAGCCGGAGGAGCCTGTGATTTGGTGCTCCGGTGGCTCCGCCACAGTGCTGCTATAGTGCCAGAGCCTGAGCCGCCGCAGCTCCACCAAAAAGGCCCGAAGACTTCTTTTCTGCCTTGTTAGGCTCCTGAAGTTTCTTTGGTGAAGTCCCTCATCAGCTCATGTTGCCAAACAGACTCATATTAAAAAACAAAGGGTACAGAGTTGAAAATGAAAAAGAGAGAAAAATAGAGACAAGAAAATGTAAGGAGTGGAGCAGAGATTTGATCATGTTCAGGTAGCAATGAGCATTGCTATCTCGGTATCTCCGGTTACTCCCTCCGTCCCAATATATATGGGCAGTTTGGATATTGGGATATTGGGTGTGGGATAGGAAAAGAAAAATAAATGAATGGCTAGAATTAAATAAGACGTGAAGAACGGATGGCTATGATACAATATCTCCATATTCCTATGCCAATCCCCATCCCTATCCAAACGTGCCGAGGCGTAACTACCTCTAGTTCAAAGACCTAGAAACGTATGTAATTCTCTCTCTCAACACTAGTATTACTGTATTAATGTACACGTGTTTAGTGAGAACATCCTTATATTATGGGACATGAATATAAAGTAGTTACGTCTTATATATTAGGATAGAGGGAGTATTTATGGAGTGTGGTCATTGGTCAAGCGGCCATGCACACGTGTACACTACAACCCATGGACTTAATCTGGTGCAATACACCAGGGGAGCCCCGAGCCCGGAGCCACAAGATGCGCCATATATGTCTCGGTTGGTCCATGTCCATCAACGATGATGCGAGCAACGCAAGCGTCCATTAAACTGAAAAGTACTTGAACCAGACAGAGCAGAGACGTTGTGCAGTAGGCTTAGTTTTTCGTTCACTCAAAAAAAAAAAAGGACACCGTTTGTCGTAGACTCCAGTCGATGCCATCAGTTCGATCGCCATATTGGGTCTCATTCGCTTCGCTAAAAAAAACGAAACACCATTCCGACTAATTTATTATAAAAAAAAAATAGGAAAAAGTCTAGTTGACCCTTCATCTTTCATACATGGTCTACTTCACCCCCTCAACTATGAAACCGTCTGTTTTACCCCCACAACTTTCCAAAACCGTCTATTTTACCTCTCGGGCGGTTTTTGACAGCGGTTTGCTACAGTACCAGTAGGTTTGAATTTCCTTTTCTTATTTATTTTCGGTGAATTTTTGAAAAATCATGGTAAATCATAGAAAAATCATAAAATGAAAAATCTAATTTTATTGGACTCCACATGAGTAGATCTACACAGTGAATATATAATACGGTATGCTTTAGTACAAATTTTTTACTGTAGCCTTAGATTAATTGGAAAATCTAATTTTGTCTGTAATTAATTGGAATAATTCATAGCTGCAGCTTCTATGGTCCAATTGTGGTGAAATTTTTATGGTACGCTAATTATTGTATGCTTGAACTATAGTAAAAATTTCGTACTCATTGGACTATGTATAACTTAGTTATAGATAAATTCTAATTAATTACAGAAAAAATTAGATTTTCCAATTAATCTAAAGCTAAAAAAAATTGTACTAAAGCATACCGTATTATATATTCACTGTGTAGATCTACTCATGTGGAGTCCAATAAAATTAGATTTTTCATTTTATGATTTTTCTATAATTTATTATGATTTTTCAAAAATTCACCGAAAATAAATTAAAAAAAGGAAATTCAAACCCACTGGCACCGTAGTGAACCTGCCGTTACTGTAGCAAACCGATGTTACTATAGCAAAATCGCTGTCAAAAACCGTCCGGGGGGGTAAAACAGATGGTTTTGGAAAGTTCAGGGGGTAAAACAGACGGTTTTCATAGTTGAGGGGTGAAATAGATCATGTATGAAAGAGGGTTAAGTAGACTTTTTCCAAAAAAAAATACTAATCTAACTAAAAAAATAAACTAAAAAAATATGGATTATAACACCCGCGAACATGACCATTGTCCTGTTAGTTGTTGTCACCATTTTTTATCGTCGCTGCCGTTTAGCCAGTCACACACTCACACCCCAAAACAAAGGTTGCGGCACGGAGCTGCCTGCCCCTGTCGTCCGCGCTAAGTGGCGGAGCCAGTATTTCAAACTTGGATTTTACTACTTCCACGTCAATAAAAAAATCAATTGTTTTTAACTGAAATGAGTGAAAATACTACAAAATATGAGCCAATTTGAGAGGCTGTTTTTTTACTGTTTTGGGCTTCAATGAGTGAAAATACTACAAAATATGACATTATACACATACATATACAAATATATACACATATATACATAAAAGTGTGCTAAAATAGTTGAGTATTCCGGAATACCCTCTGTATCCTTCCATGTCCGCGCTCGATACAGTTCGCCCCAGCCCCCAGCCCCCAGCCCCCAGCTCCCGTTCCCATATAGCTAGCCGCCTAGCTCTCGCGAGCTCTGCGACTGCGATGCGCAAACCCAGCTTGACGATACAGCACACACAGCAGCCGGGGTCGTCTCAGCCAGCCCAGCTCCAACGTGCAGCTCGGCTCGGCAAAAACTAGCTACGCTAGCTAGACACCCTTCGTTCCAGGCTCCAGCGGTAGGGGCGACGACGACATGGGGATGGGAGCTGTGGCTGCGACCCGGGAGGATGAGGAGGCGAAGAAGATGGAGGCCGGCGACGACACCGTCGGCCAGAAGCTCGACGCCGGCGCGCTCTTCGTGCTCCAGTCCAAAGGTGATTTAATTAATTAATTACCGCGGCTCTTCTCGCCATATTTTCCGTGCTGCACGCCAAGCGCATGCATGCGTGCTGCTTACCAACCTGCAACCATGCATGCATCTTTGTGTTTCTTGAGCATCAGCAAGCTTCACGGTGAGACCGCTGGGTTTTTGTTTCTCTCTCTCCCCTTGTTGCAAGTAATAACAAGCAGAATAACTGGTGGTTATTTCTAAACAGTAAACACGACCTTAGCGATTCTGCTTGATTCACCTGGAGATGATTGCAGTCCTAATTACTAAGAACTAGCCACAGCCAGTAGTGAATTCACGGTACGGTTGCATACCCCCAGCTATCATCAGTAAGTGCTGTTGGCAGACGAGAGATCGAGAAGACGATGACTCAACATTTTTCCTTTAAAAAAAAGAGAGAGAAGCATAGGAAACTTCATTGATTGAATGGTGCTTGGCAAATGACCTGGCCAGCTGATGCTACTGTTCCTCCTCTGACCACAGACCATCTCCTGATCAAAAGATCTCGGAGAGTGAATGCATGTTTCAATGCTCCTGCCAAGTTTTTCCTTTCACAGTTTCACTTTACGGTAGTGGCTCGTCTCCTTGCTTTTATCACTTCCCTGACTTTTCGTCTCTGTCCATCCCCCTCATGGTCATGGCGGCACGTATCGCCTGCCGTTTTGCAACCGAGAAAGAAGAGACAAAACAAGGTGTACTTGCGGTGTCTCTCCGATCCCTGCCGCCGATGCCTCAGCGACGAATGCTCCAGTCTCCAACATGTGCGTGCCATACTGCACACCACCCCACCCATCAGAGCAAGTATAATAGCAGGCTGTAATACTAAGATGAAAAAAAGATAAGAGAAAAGATAATAGAAGCGGGTTATAAGCTTATAGCCAGCTTAGACATAAGAATCAATAAACTTTGTGAGAGAAACAAGTGGACCATGTATTAATAGTGAAGACCTAACTGCTATATAGATGAGCTAAAAAAAGGCTGCAAAGATCCTTACAGCCAGCTTATGACTATATTATTAGCCATGCTCTCACACAACTACTAAACCACGACGAGTGACGAAATTTGATGCTCCATGGAATAGCGCATATTTGTATTTATTGTCGTTGCAGTTGAAACAGGACCAACTAACACAACAGCGCTCATCCATTTAAGCAAAACATCTCTAACAAAATTCAGTTGGTTTGGTCAAATATGTGGGTTTTATTTGACGGATCCGACGGCCATTTGATCTTATTTTATTTGGAAACTTGGTCCGTGCGCTAGTTCGGGCCATCCTCACCTCGTTGACTTACAAGCATCATGCGCCCATGTTGCATACACACTCGAGGAGCAACAATTGTGGCAGAAATAAGCCGGGAGGTTGGCCAAGTGCTTGGTTATGGGTCAGGCTCCGCTTAATCATGTTCGCTGCACTTCATCACAGAAGAAAATTAAGAACGAATCAAGTGCGGATATAGTACAGGTTGAGTTGCTTGCCGACGATACGGTATACACTTGAGACTTGACGAAGCAAGTTTCCCTTTCTCCAAAAGTCGCATCTTTTGACCACTGGACGAGGCACATCGCCGCTTCGGTATCTTCTGCTTTTCTGAATCTTAGCATGTTCGTTTGGCTGTGGCTTGTCGTAAACGATCGTAAATTTTCAGTCGGAACAGTGTTTTTTTCTCACACAAATCAGCCAGCAGTACTTTTTTACGAATCAGCAACGAAACGAACCAGCCAACCGAACAGCCTGTTGAAGGGACCTGATAAGCCGTAACGTGCACATCTGAAAACTTGGCAAAGATGATGTATATATGGTTTATATATGGTGCACGTGTATACACGTGGATAGCAGTATAGCACACATGCACGTCCTTGAGGGAAGCACATCCAAACTCTCTATGCGTACTTGTTTCATCAATGAAGACTTTTGAGTTTGGATGATGTTCAATTTGAAGGTTTATTTGGGGTGGTAAATATTGAGCTTTATACATGCCGCATGCAGGTTCGTGGCTGCACTGCGGGTACCACCTGACGACGTCGATCGTGGCCCCGGCGCTGCTGAGCCTGCCGTTCGCGTTCGCGGCGCTGGGGTGGACGGCGGGGATCATCTGCCTCGTCATCGGCGCGGCCGTCACCTTCTACTCCTACAACCTCATCTCCCTCGTCCTGGAGCACCACGCGGCGCAGGGCCGCCGACAGCTCCGCTTCAGGGACATGGCCACGGACATACTAGGTCAGTTAACTCTGCCAAAAGTAAGTTCTTTTCGCTTTACCGGTTCCTACTCCTCGCGAGTCGCAGCGGCATTGTAGTAGAGAGCTGAAACCTCTCAAAGACAGCTTTTCGTTGAATGGTAACCGCAGCTGGGGCAAATAATGTATGATGATGACGACTGCGTTGGACTAACCATACACTATCATTCTCGTCGCGTCCATTGGCAGCCTGAATTAATTAAAGGGTCCAAGATGCCAATTAGCGTAGATATTTGTGCTAACAAGGGTGCATCCGACGGAAGGACGGACGTATCAAAGAGTAGCAAAATTGCACAACTGAGCATTTTGGAAACACCAATTGGCGCATCCACTGAATCAAGAGCTTATCTGCCCCTTTGTGCTGCCCATAGCCCATTGCAATCATGCATGCAGAGTAGACTTTCTTATACTAGGCACTTTGTTGGCAGCATTAATACGCGTACTGCATCTCTAATTCATTTTCTTAACCAATCGTCCTGCTTTGAACTTAACCCCCCCCGTGATGCCAGTTTGTCCAGCCACACACGTTGTCAGCCGTTGTTTTAGGGGGGTCAGACTTGAAGCTTCAAAGCACGTGGTTAACGACTAGGACAGCAGATCGGTCAAGGTAGAGGCGGCAGTCTCCTGTCGGCACAGCGGCTTCCAATAATTGATGAACCTCGTTACCTCGATGCGGCCAAGCCAGAATAGAAGGCCATCTGCGAGTTACTAGTGCTCATTGCTCATGTCGATTAGTACGAGTAGTAGTAGATAGACGCCAGGACGTGGCCATCAGAGAAAACTCGACTGTTTCCACAAGACAGGGCACGTTATGTGCGCAGGCCCAGCGCAGTTCCTCTGAAAACAGTAATAGGCCAAGGCCCAACGCTGACAGTTTTGTCCGGGGTCCTACGGAACGTACCACTTCAGAGTTCAGATCTGAAGTCGTTGGAGATTTGCAACGAAAACCAGCAGTCCAGCACTGGCTTGACTGAGACTTCCCATCACTATTCACTGGCACGCAAGTTTCTCAAACCTGGAAGCACCTATATATGACATCACGCGCTACCAGATGCTAAGATAGGACGACTAGTCACAGTAGTCAGTGTCAAATATACGTGTTGGAAAAAATATCATCAGTTGCCAAAAAAATCACGCATGACACATGTAAGATTTTCGGCTAACCCGTTCACTGACATGTGATAAACTTTGTTATGCTAAAGGTCCTGGATGGGGAAAATACTACATTGGACCGATCCAGTTCCTGGTGTGTTTCGGAGCAGTCATCGGGTGCACTCTCCTGGCCGGACAGAGCTTGAAGGTACCGATGCTACCCACTGCCAGTTATGGCAGAGAGATGGATCGAGCATGATCCATCACATGCGTTCCTACTCTTTTTCTTTGACGTGCCTGAGCATGAATGTGTATTCCTACTTCACTTTCAGGCAATCTACCTGCTGGCCAACCCCGGCGGCACGATCAAGCTGTACGTGTTCGTGGCCATCTTCGGCGTCTTCATGATGATCCTGGCGCAGCTGCCGTCCTTCCACTCGCTCCGGCACGTCAACCTCATCTCCCTGCTGCTCTGCCTCGCCTACAGCTTCTGCGCCGTCGCCGGCTCCATATACCTAGGTACTGATAGTAGCTCCTGGACCAGCACTTCAGCAGCTCGAAGGGGAAAAAAATCCAGTGACCAGTAGTAATCGATCGGTACGACGATGCACATGACAGGAAACTCCGATAAGGCGCTGCCCAAGGACTACTCCATCTCAGGTGACGCCCAGAACCGTGTGTTCGGCGTCTTCAACGCCATCGCCATCATCGCCACCACGTATGGCAACGGCATCATCCCTGAGATACAGGTGCCCTGGTCATCCGGAGCTAGCTCTGAATCAAATAATCTACTAGTAGTAGTCATTAGCTGTGGACAATGATGGTCGCAGTCGTAACAGATTCCTGTAACCATCGACTTTGCCATGTAACATGTGCGCCTCAGGCAACGGTGGCGGCGCCGGTGACGGGGAAGATGTTCCGGGGGCTGTGCCTGTGCTACGCGGTGGTGGTGACGACCTTCTTCAGCGTGGCCATCTCGGGGTACTGGGCGGTCGGCAACCAGGCGCAGGGCACCCTGCTGAGCAACTTCATGGTGGACGGCGCGGCCGTGATCCCCAAGGGGCTCCTCCTCGTCACCCAGCTCTTCACGCTGCTGCAGCTCTCGGCGGTGGGAGTGGTGTACCTGCAGCCCACCAACGAGGTCCTGGAGGGCCTCTTCTCGGACGCCAAGCAGGGGCAGTACGCGGCGCGGAACGTGGTGCCGCGGCTCGTGTCGCGCACGGTGGCCGTCGCGCTGGCCACCACCGTCGCGGCCATGCTGCCCTTCTTCGGGGACATGAACTCGCTCATCGGCGCCTTCGGCTTCCTGCCGCTCGACTTCGCCGTGCCGGCGCTGTTCTACAACGTCACCTTCAAGCCGTCCAAGAAGGGGGTCGTGTTCTGGCTCAACACGACGATCGCCGTCGTCTTCTCGGGGCTCGCAGTGATCGCGTCCGTCGCGGCGGTGCGGCAGATTGCCTTGGACGCCAAAACTTACAAGCTTTTCGCCAACGTGTGAGGAGACCCCAAACTGACGCAGCTGCAAACGCCCTAGATGTTTTGTCGTGAGCGTTTTGTAGTGGTGTATCTACGATGGTATAAACACGCAAAAAATGTGTTTTCCTAAGGAAGATCGCAAGTAAGCCAAGAATTTAGTCTGGGTATGGTCGATTATCGATGAGTACAAGTCATACGCACAACTCTCAAAACAAGTGTCATTCTTAACTCTAACCAAACATATAAAAACATATTAATATTTATAATACATAATTAATGTCATTAGATAAATATATATTCTCACTTCGTCCTAAAACAAGTGTCATTCTCACTCCGTTGAATATATTTTTATAATATACTTGCTCAGAGATATAAATGTTACTAATATTTTTCTGCAACGACAGTGCTAGAGCCCGGACGTCTAGACGGACGCGTGTGTTCGGACGCCCGTGCTTCACTTTGTTTCCTGCATGTGCACGCACTCTGTACCCGCGGCAGCACGCCCCCGCCGCGCCTGCGTTTCACGCGCCCACGCGGGGCCCGCGCCGCACGGACGTCGCCCGCGTGCGGGACCGCTCGCGCTCCCTCCGCCGTCTGCACCCGCTCAACGACGCCCCAGCAGCTACAGCTGGTGGCTGTGGAAGGTGGATCCCATTGCAACATATGCAACACCGATATACTTTTGAAACATCCATATGCAGCGTTTGAAACGTCTAAAGGCAGATAAAACACTTGAAACATACGCCTGAAACACTTGCAAAAACACATAAAAAACACTTGAAAACAATTACAAATATACGCAACATCCAGATAAAACACTTGCAACATATGTGTGGAAATATATGCAATATTCAGATAACCACACTTACACCATGCGTATAAAAAATAGATGAAACATTGAAAATAAAAGCCTGCAACATAGGTGTACAACCATTACAACATATGAAACATCACGATCTACTTTACAACATCCGTACGAAATACTTGCAATATATCTATGGAACATCTGAAACACTTGAAACACGTGTTTTTCACCATTCTTCTTCCGGACGACGCAGAGCAGAGCGGGGAACGGTCGATTCTGGCCAGCCAACGGCCGAGGATGGTGGCGCGACCTAGCAACGACGGCCAACTGCGCCTACGCCTGGCTTGGCTTGGGCCCGTCCAGCGACGACCCCCTCTTGTGAGGCGGTCGGTGAGCTCGGTGGAGAGGGAGGAAGGCGGCCGTTAGGGATGAAGACGATCGATAGGAGGCCAAATCACTTTCATATTCATATTTTTTTCTCGAAACCAAAATCGATACGATATTGTCGGAAACGAATACGGCACCGATATTCCGGTAATTTCGAAAACGATAGTAGTCGATCAGAAAATATATCGATAACGATCGGAATCCATGAAAAGGATATCCTCAAAAATGCTAAACACACCAAACCGCAGAACATGAGAAGAGCCATATAACTCGACCTATTTCACATGACAATAATAAATAAAGTCACAATTGACAAGACCATAAGCTAAAACCACGGTTCACACCATCTCAGATCTCAAACAAGCTAAACCCCAGAGTCCGTTCGTGTTCGTGGTCACTGGCTAGAGCCATGGATGCGGTATGTGATTGGTTGATTGCCTTCTTGTTCTTATACGGATGAAATACTTGCCGTATAGTTCCTTTCCAAAAAAATAATTTGTCTTATGTGTGCCTGTATGTGCAGATGGGATGCTTAGACGTAGGACAATTGGACCTAAAGTATATGCATTATATAGTCTGTTGGATTCAAGGCCTTTAAATCAGTAAATACCGATGGTAAATTACCGGCTAAATACGGTAATCTTCAAAAACGGTCGGAATAAGGAAAAATTGTTTTCGTTTTTGTTTCCGGTTATTTTTATTTTTTCGGTTACCACTACCGTTTTCTTTAGGCCTGCAAATCGGAAAAAACTCAAAAATGATTTCCAAAAATCGAAAATTATCATTTTCGTTTTCATCCCTAGCAGCCATCGGTGCTCATATGCGGTGGAGATGGAGGATGGAGGGCACGGTGGAGGCGGAGAGTGCGGCGCCGGGGAGCGGCGTGGAGAGGAGTGGGGATGAGATACAAAGGAAGGACGCCGGGAGTGCCGACTTGGCTGTCGGTGCGGGCATCGTGGCTGCGGAGGCGAGAAGAAACTGCGCAACGAGACATGGAGGAAGAGAAATGCGCCCGTTATTTATTTTTTAATGGACTGTGAGGAGGAGCAGGCCGGGCTGGTCCCGCAGGCTTAGGAGAGCGCGTTCGGGCGGACGACCACCGTATCATTATCGTTTCTACAAAACTAGTCAAACCTAAGAAAGTTTGACTATCACGTATCCTACAGCGACATGGTTTGGGACGGATGGAGTACGAGCGACGAGGACAACATCGATCTGATTACATCCCTTCAATTCAATTAGATGGAATTGAAGTTAGATTCTAGGATTAGCCCATTTGGCTCTGCCAACACCGAGAATTACGATTCTGAGGCTCAAATCACCCATCGATAGAATGTTATGTTCGTTTCGCTGAAATTTGGTTTATACTAATGCTTATGTTGATTTGTTGTGAAAAGAAAACACATTTCGTTTGCTGAGTGCTGAAGAATAGGATGATCGCGATGATCGAGAATAGGTGTCTCATATAGTCGTATCACTTTTCACACACGTTGTCGCTGACGAGCAGCACAGCACTATCCTCAAAGGACCCAGAAATTGTATCCCACTATTCGCTAGAAATTGGCGTATCCAGCTATGCAAACCAGCAGTGCACGCGTTGTGCAGTCCGCGGCGTGTTTCCTGCATCCGCTCTGCAACACCCGATGCGGGCGGGGCTTGAGGGGTCACCATGCGCTCACGTCCCTCTTTCCCATTTGCTCTCCTGCTCATCTCTGCAGTTTTTGCTCCCATCGTGTTCGTGACTGGTGGTGACGAGGAGAAAGTCCCTGTTGAGCGGCGGGATGGATCACGGCAGTGCTCACGGCGGTGCGGCACACGATCCGTGCCGGCGTGGACGAGTCCTGCTCGCTGGGCCACGTGCTGGCCCGCATGGAGCCCCATCTCGAGGAGATCCAGGCGGCGCTCCCGATCCGCACGCCGTGAGCCGAGCTCGCCGCCGCCGGGCCCCATACCGACCACGCCGTGGGCCTTGCCGCGACCTCGACAGTGGGCTCCTGGACGCCGTCCTCGATGTCCTCGAGGCCGAGTTCAGCCGCCTCCTCGCCGACCACTCCATATCGCTCGCGATGTCAGCAACTCTCCCCGCCGCTCGTCTAAGGAGTAAGAGGATGAATGGAAAGATTGGTGAGAGAGATGGGGTGAAAGGTGACGGTGAGAAAGGAGATGGGCTCGGCGTCGGCCCTTTCACAGGAACGTGAAAAATTGTGTGGGGTAAGGTTACCTATTCAGATGAAGGGGTGAGCATATCAGTTCTCAGGGCGAGTTTGGTTAAACCCCGAAAGTTTAGTCACTAAACTGGCTCTAAAGTTTAGTCACTTTCTATTTAGGCCCCGTTTGGCAGGGCTTCACTTCACTAGTGAAGCCATTTTTTTTTGGCTTCAGCTCCACGAACAGCTCCACCGGTGGAGCTGAAGCAGTTTTGGTAAACCGTTTGGCAAAATGGCTTCCCTGTGAGAGCATGTTTTTAGGGGCCTGGAGGAGGAGCCGGGAGAAGCCACTATTTTTGGCTCCTTCCCACTCCAAAGCTCTGTGAGAGCACGTTTTTAGGGACTTCATCGGTGGAGCCGTTTCATTTTACCCCGTTTGGCAGAAAACGGCTCCAAACGGCTCCTGAAGCCGCTGGAGAAGCCCTGCCAAACGGGGGTGGAGTAAAAGATACTAAAAGAGGCATTTTAGTTCCTTTAAGTTAGGATGTTTGATCCAAAATAACTAAAAGGTGAGGCAGCCTAACTAAAAAGTGGGTTTTAGTCTAATTTAGCAACACTTGAGTGACTAGTTGGCTAATGCACTTTTTAGTCCTATTTAGTCATAGTGTTGGAATAAAAATGACTAAAAAGACTAGATTTAGAAGGCGAAGAGTGAACCAAATGCGAACAACCAATCACAGAGGTTGCTTTTAAGCACCCACCGTACATCACTGGCCGCTCGGGCCCAATAGTCAGTCATTGATACGGACGAGTACCAGTATTTTACTACTGTATAGTCTCCCGTCCTTGAGTATGCGTATTGTTCTCTTTACGCCATCTCTTCTTCGGTCGTCTGCTCGGAAGTGGGGGATATTTAACTTTTTACCATCTTATGGATGGCACCTTCGTTTGCCAGTTTTATACGGACACCTATATATTTGCCATCGCAAACAATAAATCTCCTAAATTTTTACCATTTTTGTTGATGTGGCATGACACGTAGTCAGCTAGCATGGCAGCGCCTCTCCTTCCGCTGTTGCTTCTCTCTCCCTCCACTCGCTGACATGTGGCCCCCACTAGTTAGGTTCATCTTCAACCTCTGGCCACCGGAGAAGGGGCGAATCACGCCCTAGACGTTCTCGCCGCCACCTCTGCGCAGGCCCTCGCGCCGCGGACATGCCCCGACGCTGATCCGCTCCTGCTCCCTACTCTCTCTGACGGCGACCGCACCCGCGCCCATGCTGCTTGTGGGCGCAGTCTCCTCGCAGGGCCGGCCGAAGCAGGGCGCGTCCGCGCGCGGGGTCGGCCTGGGGGCGCGCGGGCTTGGGGCGCCAGGGCGACGACGATGGGGCAACGGAGGAGGCCGACCACTGGGCGCGGGGCGAACACAGCCGTGGCCGGAGCCGGAGCCAGAGCCGGAGCCTCGCCGTGGTCCGCGAGTGCGGGGGGCACAATCGTTGAGTCCATAGACGAAGGAGGAGGACGCCCCCACGATGCCGGCGGCGCCCGTGACGAGCACGGACAGCCCGACGCCCTCCGCGGACCCGAGAGGCCGCCGCGGCGACGCCGACGCCCGGATCTGGCACTCCCACTGCAGCTCGCCCCAGGATGCGGCAAAGTAGCGGGAGGAGGTGGCGACAAAGGAGTGAATGCTCAGGTATGTGGCCGTCATGGCCACCAGGAAGAGCGCCCACAGGAACATGGTCCCCCTCCCGCACACATGCTCGCCTCTTCTTCGGTGGCCAGAGGTTGAAGATGAACCTAACTGGTGGGGCCCACATGTCAGCGAGTGGAGAGAGAAGCAGCAGCGGGAGGAGAGGCGATGCCACGCTGGCTGACTGCGTGGCATGCCACCTCAGCAAAAATGACAAAAAATTTAGAAGTATTACTGTTTACGACGGTAAATGTGCATGTGTAAAAAAAAGTGAACGGTAAGGATGGCAAAAAGTTAGATGTCCCCGGAAGTGGCCTCCGTCGTCTCCGCCGCCAAAACGACGCTTTTTCGATCAGTCTCGAATTCTCGATGCGGCCGGCCCGCGCGGCGTCGCCGGCGTCGCGCGGGGGATGAGCGTTATACGAGCTGTACAGGGCAGCGAGCCGCGCGGCGGCGCCGGCGGTGCTATTGTGGCGGCGACTGCAAGGGCTGGAGCACCTGACGCGGTGGCCGGAATGCCGAGGGTCCTTTAATTCGAGGGGCAAAAAATGCTGAGGCTAATGTCAAATTAGGACATCGTTGTAAAGTCTGTCGTCTGGTAGTGTAGGCCGGCCGTCTGCGGCGCGGCCTCGGCCGGGCTCTCCGCTCGTGTGGTTTCATGCCGTATCCCTCGGGGGAGGGAATGGCCGCGCTCCCCGTTGTCCGCCACTGCGTCCGCCTCCATCCCGGCCTCCCCGTGCTACTCACCAGTCACCACCACCACTCTCTCCTCGTTGTAAGCTCCCGTTCTCAACCGCGTGTGCCATTTTCAAAATCCGTATATTGCGTTGTCGTCCTCTAAATACTGCTATTTGGCTTGTATGCAGCGAAGTTATCAAGGATCTACTTCCTGATGGTGTCATATATCAGGTGCGTTTGCAGATTGCTCGCGTAGCTTCAGACCTTTGTGGCTGTGCTGGATTTAGTTTAGTGAGGATGAACAGTGTGTTTTCTTCGTAACTACTATTTGATAATTCGAATTGGTCTGGCTTTGGCCATCTGTTGATGCTTCTTCATGCTCGAGTACTTCTGTTTAATGAGATAACCATACATTGATACAGTACAGTTGCACTATCACTTAAATTTCACAGGATTATTGCCCTAAGAAGGTTACAGGGTATTTACCTAACTGCAGCTATTAGGTTGTAATAGTAAACTTCGAGTAAAAATTGGGAGGGAAAGTGTAGTATGTTCAGATGCTGGGACTGGCTGCCTTAAGGATTTCGGAAATGTACATTAGAAGCAGCTTCATGCGCAATTTTTGCATGCTATGTTTATTTCTCCCTTCCAACCTCATTTTTTTATGCGTGTAGTTTGCTCCTCTTGACTGCCCTAATGCAATAGACAGTTTTATTGGATACTGGAAGCCAAGTTTGATACTTCTTCTGGAAAGTGAACTCTGGCCAAACCTCATTATGTCTGCAGCAGGAAAAGGGTAAGTGGCTTTCTCATAATTCTGGAGCATGAGATCACTGTTCATGATAATGCTTATTTTCTAGTTCCTAGTGTTCATCCTTCTCTTTAGTTTTTCATACTGCAAGAGCAGAACTTTTGTCTGGACTATTCGTAGTTTCTGCATCACACATTCATGCTGTAAGCTGTAGTTACTTATTTGTTATGAATTGCCTACTTATCTGCAGATTGCAGTGGCTCTTTTAAATGCTCGCATATCATTGATATCTTTCAACCACTGGTTGATGCCTCTAGGGTCCCCAATAATTGCTCTGATGCTCTCTAAACTATCACTTGTTATCCCATTGGTAAGTACCCATGGAAATGCTGACCTTATTTTTATGTACATCTATTACTGCTGCCATCATTCATTTCTTATCGTTGCAGAGTACTATTCAGGCTGTTCGTTTTCAGCTGCTAAATACACCACCAGGGATCATACATTTTGCTGGAGATTTAAAATATGGTATACTCAAGTTTTGTCTAGTCCTTCCTGAGAATAGATTTTAAGTGATCCTATAAGTGATTTAGTTTCAAAGGTTGTCTTGGGAGCTTGAAAGATAACCAGGTTTACAAGTCAAATGATTTATTAGAGGATTCATGTAATTCACATAGCTGTCGGAGATGTTAATGCCGGGGAGAATCAGGTCAATGAAATAAAAGATCTGCAACAGCAGTTTAGCAATAGGCCCCTCTGGATGGCTGCTTCTATTCACAGAGGTGAAGAAGAAGGTAAGAACTCAGGAGCTGAACCTTTTGCTGATTCCTGGACTAATACAATGTATTATATCACTTCACTTCCAGTAAGCTGTACAAAAAACTGCTAGCATTTCACATTTTCATAATAATGGTTACTCCTATTCCTAACTTTGTTGACTTCTTCGAGTTATCCTAGAACAACTTCGATTTCCACCTCCTGCAACAATTAATTGCTGAAAATGGACGTACCCAGTGCAGAGAGCTCCCGCTCTGTGCGGGGTCTGGGGAAGGGTGTCAGTGGCAAGCCTTACCCTCGCCTGTGCAATGCGAGGAGACCGCGACTCGAACCTGGGACCTTCCGGTCACAGGCGGTAAGACTCTACCGCTTGCACCAGGCCCGCCCTTCAATTAATTGCTGAAAATGCTGTTAGAATATTATACCAAGAAAAATACTTTGAATGACAGATATATAATGTTGTTACATACTGACCAGGATTGAAAGTTTGACTTACATTTACTTAAGGTAGTTAAATGCCGTATACATGTAAATTGTCATACTGATGGACTATTTGTTCAAAATATACAGGAGTACTGTGTCAGTGGATGCTTCTATATCCTCAAGCTTAATAACTTAATACTAAAATTGTCTTTGTTTTAGAGAATCACCTCTGCCATAGTTTCATTCATGTAGTTTTATTTTTTGCCCTGACCAATATTCATGTAGTTTCTTATGAATGATCTTCTGTCATATCATTATTCTGCCTCATTTTTTGTATTTCTGTTCATACTCTGATCAGGAAAAATGGAGTAGCTTTTGTGAAATTATATCTCAGTTGTTTATTCATCATTTTTACATTTTCAATGTGGAGTGACATGGAGGAATTACATTGCTGACTTATTATTCTCGCGTTCTCAACATGAAGGAAATGGTTTTCAGTTTTTCACAAGCCATCTCGATTTTCTTACTTTATTTTTTCAGTCATCCTCCGCGTTCATGATGAGTTAGTCAAGATGTATCCCACTCTACTACTAATTCTTGTGCCAAGACATCCTGAGGACTGCAAGAATATTTCCTTGGTATGATAATGGTGCATTTCTTACCCCTTTTAAATCTTTAATACTTGTTTGTTACCAGTATTTATAGTATCATATCTTGTTGGATACTCAAGTCAAAATAATTGAACACACAAAGGTAAGTTACTGGTGACTGACTTCACTGTTTAAAATTTGAATTTCTTCAGCGTGAAGAGATTAAGCATTTTAATTTAGGATTCCAACTTTGTTCTGGTATGAGATGCTATTCGTTATGATAGTATAATATATCTGAACACATCTTTGTGTATGTTGTTGCAGGCACTAAAGAAACAAAAGGTCAATTTTGTGCTGAGGTCAACTAGGGAAGTGGTGGCTTCAAGCACTAGGGTATACATGGTCGATACTTTAGGTTTGTGATCATCTCCTTCTGAAAGTTGATGTATTACTGCACAAATTGTGTATACCATGTTCCAACTCCTCCCTCCATACCGAAATAATAAGCATATTTTGATTAAGAAAAAGTTGTGCAAAATAGATTTGGACCCTTAATTTCTCTTATTACAACATGTCGTCATTTGCGAAAGAATCACCATCATCTCAATTCTCAAAGGCACTTTGAATACAAAATCTATTGATGCAATGCTAGTTTTATGTCCTAAAGTTGCATCTATTTTGAATAATTGTTGGTCAAAATTTGTAAAATTGCCTTTCCTTGTATAAAATACACTTATCATTCCAAGACGGAGGGAGTATTAGCTAACAGCGTAAAATACCATGAAAAACAGGGGAATTAAGAATGCTTTATAGGGTCACTCCAGTTGCAGTTATTGGCGGTTCGTTTCTATCTGGCTTAGCTGGCCATAATATTTCTGAGGCTGCTGCAGCTGGTTGTGCTGTTATGACTGGTGAGTCAATGGTATTGACATACTTATGTTTGGCATTTCTTTGTGAAAAGTCACAATATTTGTTGTTCACAAAGTGAACTCTGGCATGCAGGACCCCATGTTGGACACTTCTACCATATGCTGGTTGAAATGTGGCAAATAAATCCTTTAGTTGTCAAGCAGGTGACAAAGTCACAAAATTATTTTTCAGCTATTTTGCTACCTAAACAAAACACCATTCTGTGACTAGTGCACCATTGCATAGTAAATTTGATCACTAGCTCAGTTGCTCCTCCATAAAAGTAATCAGTCAAGGTCGGTCGTATGATGAGTGTTTTTTTTTTGGGTTCTAGACTTGCCTCTTTTCCTACTGCTTGCTGAAATTAGTTGGGCATGATAAAATGATGTTTAACAGAGGGAATTGGGCCTGAAAATTCTTTCACAGAGTGTTCTTTTTTCATTCAGGTGTCAGGAGAATTCGAACTTCTGCAAACACTAAAAGAACTGCTTGGTGATGCCAGCACTCTAGGAGCACGTCAAAGAGCTGCAAAAAATGCATTTTCCATTATGTCAGATGGAGTTGTGAACTGTGTATGGAATTTAGTCAGCAGGTTCGCCATTGACTTCCAAACAGATACGTGGAACAGTTGACTTAGTGGAGGCCTCTTCTTGTAATCTCCGTGGTACCCTCATGGTACGCTCATGAAACCAAAATTTCCCTGATAATCTGATCATAAGCTTTCACGGCACATTAACAGCTGCTGATTTATTGCAGGGGCTGTTGGAGGAGTGGAAATGCACAGGGAGACTGACACCGGTGATTGTGGCATGCTGGCGACCTGGTGACTGGTGACAAAGGACACGAATCTCAAATTAAAGGACACTAAGCTCACATGAAAGAACGTATGTCCACATCATCTGCTTGCCTTGCTCCTGCCGGAAATTTAAATATATTCCATAAAAAGATCCTCTGGGATGTCTGTCATCCTTCCTTGTGGCATGGATGTGATATATTTTGTCATTCCCTAGTGCCAGTCAGCAGATGATCATTTGGAGTGCCTTTTCCTTTGTAAAATTTGCACATTCAAGGCTCCAGGAATTTCAAGGACCATGCCAATTTTAGTGTTAGATGTGAACTGTTAAATGCATATGATTTCAGGCGTGATATGTGAGATTGATATCCTTTTCTATCTTGGCAAAGTACAGTTTTGGGGAAAGGAAAGGGGGGAATGAGAAAAGGACACAACGAATGTATGACATAGGTTGGACTGCAATTTGCAAATAGATATGAGGTGCTAGCCAGGTTGCTCTTCTTCCCCACCTTTGTGTACCAAAAGAATGCATTTGATGAGGAGTCAATTATGTCATGTTCGCTTCTCTTATAATCTGTCTTTTTCAGCTTGTTTTTTTTTTCCAGTCGGAACAGTGTTTTTCTCTCACAACAAATCAGCCGAAGCAGTGTTTTGGCTTATTTTTCAGCGAAGCGAATGGGGCCTTAATATCAAATATAACTAAATTTATATCAAATCCTGTGTTTGCTGTTATGCGCGTGAAGGAGAGACTATTTTGTCTGTATCTTCTTGCGTGCGTTGCGTTAAATATCTTTGAACAGTGAAGACGAGGCATTTTGTCCGTGTCTTCCTGCTCGGCTGCCCTTTTCAAATGGCTGTGCCGGCTGAGGCTTGCTGCTGCAGCAAGCTGTTCCGATCAGGCTGATTTTTTGGCTGTGGAGTACTGGCAGGGATGTCTTCTTTTTCTTGAAAGGTGGCATGGAGGTCTTTGACAAATAGGTATTGACGCACGCATCGCCTTCTTGGAAGCAACTCTCTGCCTCTCTTCCCTATCGTTGAAGGTAGAGTGCTGCTTGTTTTTGTAGGTTCTTAATCTATGTTTATTGTATTCTCCGTCTGTTCGTTTGGACTGGCTTGACTTATAAGCCATGGCTAAAAGTACTGTTTGCTGGTTTGGTGTGAGAGAAAAATACTGTCCGTTGACTGATAAGTCATAGCTTATAAGCCAGATGCTCGTATTCTGAAGTCTCTGGTCTCCAAGTCGTTCGGCGCACTCCGCACTGGGCAAGGCATAGCAGCGCTGCCGCGGGTGATTTTTGAGCTGTGGTGCTGGAGAAGTTTGAGCCAAGAAGACACCACCAGGAGGCCCAAAACGAGAGCTCCCATGCCGTTCTCCCACCACTCCCCAGCTGCTACAAGTCAGCTACTCGCCCCTTCCCGCCGCACGCTCCTATTGCCATTGGCATGCCCGCGAGCCGGCGCGACCCCGGCGGCGGCACCGGCGCCGAAGTTGCGCTCCTAGCCGCCGGGCTGCGAGCGGAGTTGCTGCCGCGGCACGTGGCTGTGGTGATGGACGGGAACTCGCGGTGGGCGCGCGCGCGCGGGCTGCCGTCCGCGGCCGGGCACGAGGCCGGGCGCCGCGTGCTGGAGGAGGTGGTGCGGCTCTCCCGCGCCTGGGGCGTCCGCGCGCTCACCGCCTTCGCCTTCTCCCATGAGAACTGGAGCCGGCCCAAGGTATGCTTCCTGCCCCCGCGCGCCGTCGCCTTCTTTGTCACCGACGAGCTTGGCGGTTCTCTTTGCCAATTCGCAGGTGGAGGTGGAATTCTTGATGGGGCAGTTTGAGCGAGCGATCCGCGAAAGCATAGCTGAATTTTTGAGGTATGCTTTTGTGCCGTCAGATAATAGCCTCACACTTGCTCCCTCCGTCCCAATTTAATTGCACATCTGGAATTCAAAATTTTCCCCATATTAATCGATCACACAGCGGACAGATGTAAGTAAAGGTCCACAGTCTTCACAGAGCCCGGAGGTAACAGAATTAAAAAACCGAGAAACAGATCTTGCGGGTCTTCCTGTCCACTCGTTTATTGATTAAAAAACCGAGAAACAGATCTTGCGGGTCTTCCTGTCCACTCGTTTATTGATTATTGTCAATTAAAAAAAAGGGAAAACGGACGTCGAGCCTTATTTCTCATGGAGTCTACGAACTCATCGCATAGCCGCTAGACCTGTTCATCATCCCGTCCCCTTGCACTCCAAGCACAGGAAGCCCGGTCCTTCCCTTCCCTTCTCTTCCAGAGATACGGATCCAAGTCTCAGCTCCGGCCGGTGGGAGCCCCGGCCTAGCCGCCACGTGCAACACGAGCTCGTCCACAGGGTCACGAGAATAGGGGCTTGGCGTGGACACGGACGCCGGCGCAGCCGAGGCGCGACTGGTGCTTGACGCACAAGCTCGTCCCCGTCGGGAGCCACCGCAACACAGCGGGTGCGCGCGGGCGGCGCGAGCTGGTCCCCGTCGGCGTGGAAGACGGTGGCGGGGCCTGACCGCCGTTGCGGCCGGAGCACGCTCGCGAGGAGGTGCTGAGGTGGCGGCAGCGAGCGCCCGAGGTAGGCCGTGGCTGTAGTGTCGTGTGTCGGGCGAGCTCGAATGAGGCGGCAGCTTGCTCTTGGCTGTCCGTGGGCGAGGACGATGAGGTAGCGACGGGACGCAGCCTGGAACCTTCGAAAGGTTGAGTTCGGGAACCTGCAGAGATTGGGAATCAGACTGAACTTCCCAGGGGTATTATTGTAATTTTACATGTCTCCTTGGTATTCGTGCCTACGCCCAGATGTGCAAATAAAATGGAACGGAGGGACTACGTGTAATCGGCGACTCCTCAAGACTGCCGGTTTCTCTTCAGAAGACCGCGAGAGAAGCCGAGGAGGCCACACGGAACAACTCGCGGCTCGACCTGACACTGGCAATCAGCTACAGCTGGCGGAGGGACATAGTGCAAGCATGCCGGAACCTCGCTCAGAAGGTGCGCGACAAGCTGCTGAAGCCGGAGGACATCGACGAGTCGCTGTTCGCCGATGAGCTCGAGACGAGCCATGCCAACGAGCTCCCTGATTACCCCGACCTGCTCATCAGAACCAGCGGCGAGCTGCGGCTGAGCAACTTCCTGCTGTGGCAGTCGGCGTACGCGGAGCTCTTCTTCACGGACACGCTGTGGCCCGACTTCGGAGAGGCCGACTACCTCGAGGCACTGGTATCCTTCCAGAGCAGAGACAGGCGGTTCGGGTTAAGGAAATTGTAGCGCTGAGGCAGGCAGCGCCATGTGGAAGGCGTGCTTGAACCGTCAATAGCAGGTAAGCGTTGGTCAGTGGATGATGATGGGTTTGGGGCCCATGGTATTAGCATGACGCGGCGGTGTTTGCTACAACTCACAAATGGTGCTGGGGACTCCTGGAGACCAACATGCGTAGATGGCCGTTTATTAGTGGTGGTATGCAGTCAATTAATTCTTGTGAGAGTAGGAAATAAACTCAAAATGGTACTAGAGATCAAGCTGCATCTTTCATCTTGATTGAATAGATATATGATTCAGTCAGACAGCTGCTGGAGGAGCAGCAAATATATTTGATTCATGCAACCATGGTGAGCCAGGGGCTGAGATAACCTGACAGCCCGCGGTACGGGCTGTTAGGCAATGACAGCTACATATCCTGTCACGAAAGATTGGCAATATACGTAGGTATATGTACGTAGCTACATATACTTGCCGCTGCCATTGCTGCAGGTTGCGTTCTCACTCACGACACGGGTTTCTGTAGAACAGACGAACAGTACTAGCTACAACCACCAGCAGAGGCTGTTAATGACAGCTGAACGCAACGGACCCATAAGTTCTACAAGGTAGTATAATGTGGCTGATAATGTGCTTTCATCAATTTTTTGTTTTACAAAAAAACTCTATATCGTTAATTCTAGCCATGATTTACTAAAACTTGTTTGGTTCCCATACAACTATAGTTAATTACTAAAAATTAGCAAAGACTCTATTTGGACCCTCGGCTAATGGATAGATCAACTCGTATTTTACTTGCCACCCAACTAAAAAATAAGTATTGGCTGATTTCTTCCGACTAACGTAGCTAATGTTAGCTAAGCGAATTCAAACGAAATGAAAACCAAGTAATCATATGGGGTAGTGGGCGTGGCCATTGGGGCGGTGGACAGAAGAACACGAGGGATTGGGATAGAGTCCACCGTTGACTTTAGCGCTTTGCGGCTATGTTAAGGATAACATATTTCGTCATCGACGTTATGGCCCTTCGCAATATTAAATCTTTCATTGATGTCCTCTTCACCCTGATGGCTATGTCTTTTTAGCATCACAAACCAGAGTACCTGGCCCCGTAGCCCGCAGGATAATCCAGGACCGCGCCGCATTGCTGCTGTTTGTGTTGTCGTGAGTACAAAAACGTTGTCCGAAATGACTATCTTTGAACGGTTGAATCCACTTTCACTCACGAATCACACGCGACACGCACCCACAGCCATGCCCCAGACTGCCAGACGTGCCAAATCAGCAGGAAACGGAATCATCCCGGACTCCCGGTGCTCCCACACGCGGCGCACCGAGCCAGACGCGACACGGAAAGATAGTCACGGTCACTGACGCGCCGGCTCCAGCCTCGGTTTGGGACTCGACTTGGTCGGCTGGTCCGCGCGTCCGCAGCCAGACCGGTGAACGGACCGAACTATCGGAACCATCCACCCCGCCGCCCGGTCCCAAAGTTCTATATAAACGCAGCCGAGCCCCCCTCCTGCAAGTCCCCTTCTCCGCCCCCTCATTCCCCAAACACCAAAACCCGCGGCTCCGCGTCTCCGCCGAAGCGGGAGGCGGGCGGGGGCAAGCACCTGCTCCCGCTGCGTGAAATTACACTCCCCCTCCCTCTCTTTTCTCACTCCGATTCCCCACTCGCGATGGCCGCGCCTCGACCCCCGCCGCCGGGGGCACTGGGAGTCGGGGTCGGTGGCAGCGGTGGCGCCGCCCCCGCCGCCGGGGCGCCCGCCGGAGTCAGCATGCGGATGTTCCACGGCGAGGTGTACCTCGGCGAGATGGAGGTGTTCCCGATGAAGCAGGGGGGCGAGGGAGGCCTCCCGTTCCCGAGCAACGAGATCCGCGTCAGCCGCCTCTCGCCGGCGAGCGAGAGGTGCCCGCCCCTCGCCATCCTTCAGACCATCGCGCCCTTCTCCGTGCGATGCAAGCTGCAGACCAAGCTGACGCCTCCCAACCCGAGCCTCCAGCGCTTGTATCTCACTTGTTTCAACGAGTTCAAGGTTTGTCCCCAATTGTTTTTGGACAACCGCGAATATGTGGTTTTGTCTTCATGTGACTGTAGTTTCTATGCTCATTTGAAATCGAAGGAGTATACATATTTAAGAGCGTGACCTCTTAGGAATTTCTATTCACTGTATTTGTAATTCGTCGAACAAGTATCAGGAGTTAGCATTTTGCACATTTCATTCTGGGTCTATCATAGGTGTCTTGGCTCGATGTGCTTATATCATTGCCATATTCATTTGAAGTTGAAGCGGAAAACATAACTTACTGAGGTGGTACTTGTACTTCGTGAGACAAGTTTCATATGCTGAAGCATTGTGTACATTTCATTTCGGGTCTTTCATGGGTTGTAAGTTCCATGTAGTTAGATTCAGGGACTGTTTCTCTTGATAGAACTTTACACAGAACATTAAGATTTGTATAACACGTTCTCTCATTTGTCTGTGTAGAGCGCTGTGGTAGTAGTTGGGGATGAGGAGCTGCACCTGGTGGCAATGCCGACCAAATCAGGGAAGGTGCCATGCTTTTGGTGCTGCTCAGCACGCTCTGGGCTCTATGCAGCGTCCGTTGGCATGCTCAACTTGCGCTGTCTTGCCATTGTGTTTGATCTTGATGAGACCCTTATCGTTGCTAACACTATGAAGTCCTTTGAGGATCGGATTGAGATGCTTTCCCGCAGAATGGATGTCGAAGATGATCCTATCAGAATAGCAGGGATGTCTGCAGAAATCAAACGGTATATTGAGGACAAAGAGCTTCTCAAAGAATTCATTGACACCGATACAGTTACGGACAATGGCAAAATAGTTGGAACCCAGAAAGAGGAGGTTCAACCTATGTCTGGTGGTCAGGAGCGTGTTCTTCGTCCAGTTATCAGACTGCCTGACAGGAATGCAATTTTGACTCGCATCAATCCAGAGGTATGTTTCAATTAGTAGAATGAATTCCATGATATTGTTGTTGGCTTTTCGTGGGCTGCTATAGAGCCTTGTCTACTTTGGGGACATGATTTATTGACCCTACTAAGCTTTTCGAGATTTAATACAAAACTATTGGACTGAGGCACTCAGCATAAATTCTTTTATATTTGGAAGGTGACAGAATTTTGGATATCTAGAGATTTAATTCTTTCATTTAACTTACTGTTCTGTGATTACTCTACCTTTTTCATGCTTAGTATCATCTTACCCATTTACATGATATATTCTTTTCAGATTCGTGATACCAGTGTTTTCGTAAAGCTAAGGCCTGCTTGGGAAGAATTGAGGAGTTACCTAACTGCAAAAGGACGAAAAAGATTTGAGGTTTATGTATGTACAATGGCTGAGAGAGATTATGCTCTTGAAATGTGGAGACTTCTTGATCCAGAAGGCAACTTAATAAGTCCACAACAGCTCTCAGAACGCATAAATTGTGTAAAGTCAGGCAAGTGAACTTGTTTCAACTATTGTGCAATGATTTCCTGTATCTGTTTTGTTTCGTTTATCCTGACAAACTCACCAGCAACACCTTTTTGCCATAAACTTTATATTCCAAATGCTCTTTTTGTTTTTGCTTTTCTTTCCTAATATTACGATGCCCTCCTTTTATTGGAACATATTGTCATTATGCATACACTTATGAGTAAGGTATTTAGCTCCAATTTATCTATACAGCATCCTTTGTATTCCTAAATAACTTGTTCCCAGTGGAACTGCTGTAATATATGTAGTAATATATAGTAATATATAGGAGTAAATGAAATAGCGTACAGTGTGGTTGGATGGAACAGTGCACAACCTTCCTATCACTCTGGTTTCATCTTCCTCCAGAATTTTTCTGGGTTAACCATCTATTGCATCCTTTCTCTTTATTGCATGGCAGGTTCCAGAAAGTCCCTGCAGAATGTTTTCCGAGACAGAGGATGCCATCCAAAGATGGCCATGGTAATTGATGACCGACTTAATGTTTGGGATGATAAAGATCAACACAGAGTTCATGTTGTCCCTGCATATACTCCATACTATGCTCCACAGGCAGAGGTACTTATTCTTTAATTACTCTGTGTATTTTGTGTTGAACATATACCCATTATGGAATGATATGTGTGTTTTCTATGAATTTTAGATGGCCAATGCTGTTCCAGTTCTATGTGTTGCAAGGAATGTTGCTTGCAATGTTCGTGGTGGGTTTTTCAGGTTGGTAAATGTGTGTAATGAAATTTCTGTATTGTAATTATATATTTCTTACTTCTTCAATACTGGGCATGTTTTTCTTCTTCGTGCAGAGAGTTTGATGAGAATCTACTGAGGAAAGTGTTTGAACTATACTATGAAAATGGGTTACTGGATCTTCCATATGCTCCAGATGTTGGTGACTATTTAGTCTGCGAGGTATTAATATTCTGGATATGTTCTCCCTCCAGTTTATTTTTTCTGAAATTTTATGCTACCTTCCAATTTCTCTACAGGATACCAATTTTGTACCAGCCAACAAAGATCAGGCTCCTATACCTGAGGGCATGAGGGGAACTGAAGTAGAGAAGAGATTAAATGGGCAGGTGAATTTTTATATCTTCGTGTTACTTGGATCTAACTAGAGGATGCAGACTAATAGTGCCCTATTTCCTTTGGAATATATTAGCAAGCACTGTTTAAATGGCAACATATGGTTCATGCAGTCTGCTTTTAGCCATTTATAACTATATGCCTTTTTATTTACTACATTGCTCTTCTTGAGAATGGATCTGCACCTCTACAAAGTTTAGGGCCCCAAGTACTCTAGTCCGTTCACTTGACTAATTGTTGTTATTAATCTCGTAACGCTCGAAATAAACTCAAGAGGATGAGTTTTCAATTATTTTCCTTATCAGTCATATCGGTGGGAGCAAAGGGAAGGACAGCAAATGTCATCCTTAACCCGTTCACCAGGTACCTCTCAATTTCATAAATTTGGTTAGCTATCTTTTGGTTTCTCTTTCTGGCAATTCCTGTTACCTTTTATGTTAGAGTATATTAGGCATCTCCAGATATATTTATTTTGTCTATTAGCTCAAAAAATTCCATTGATTGGATTCTTGTGTTTATTTGCTAAGAGGATTTGGCCTTTTTTTTGCCATTTTCCTTTATCAAAGAAATGTTACTGTGTTATTCATGGTGAACTTTATCTTGAGCCATTTGGCATGAGAAGAAATTTTCTTGTCTGATGCTTGATAGAACATTGCACTTGGTTCGTATTTACTTAATATTATTAATAGTCTGTTCTCTTTTGTCACTGGCCATGCTTTGAACATATGAAGGAATTGTGCTGCTCTTTCATTTACCCCCATTACCCCATGATTTGTTATTCATTTTTTAAATCAGTACTAAGACTTTTATCCAAGGTTGTCTGGATCTCAGATCCTATTTTTATTATTTCACTAGCAAACATACCCATACTTTGCAACGGGATGTTCAGCTTGTTGTGTGGTTACCTAGATGACTTGCGGCTTGGAGATTTATTTAGCTATATCGCGTCATGCGTTTCAATTCGTCTGGGAATCGAACTCCGTACTATGCCTGGATCCATGTTGATCTAACTCGTATGGGTACGAGATGTTTAGAGATTTATCAATGTCGTGTCATGCGTTCCAAGTTCCAATTTGTTTTGGCATTGGACTTTGCATCATGCCCAAACACTTAACTCGTACGGGTATGGGAGAGAGTAGCCGACCATGGAAACATTTTGTATTCCAATTCATTTCAGAATTGGACCCCATACCGTGCTTGGACACACTACTCTAACTTGTACATGCACGGAAGAGATTTAGTCGATCTGTTCCCCATCAGACAGCTGTGAGCGATGAACGATGAAGAAACCTTTTACTCTTTAATATTAGGGATAGATATGTAATTACGAGATACCAGATTCTCCGGTCCTGACTTGGTGGACCATATGGCCTCTCATTTGAGGCCAGTTATCATATGATCTTAATAATGCCATCCTGAATGCATTCCTGCCTAGGATTCTTATTCCTGACAACCTTGCATATGCTGTATAAGAATCAACACCTGATGGTTTAACTAACTGGAATCTTCGGTCTAGATGACGAGGGAATGCCTATCCGAGGTACTGGAGGAGTTAGGACTATCCAGCCAAATGGGGGATCACTAGCAATAACCCCCTCGGTATATGTCACAGTGTTGCAAGAAATCGGGCGGCTATGTGACTCCAAGGTATTCGCATCTTATTGTTTTAGCTTATATTTGTTTTCCTATTTGGCCTTGAAGTAATCCTAAACCCTTTCTCGTACAGGTGGAATTCAGATCTACTGTAAGCAATGGCAAAAGTATGCTATTTTCTGTAGAGGTTAGTATTTTGAATTTGTGACTTATCAGTATTTATAGTATATATTCTCTTGTCAACAATTGTATCCATTTTGAATTGAAAGAGCCATGTTACCATACCGCCTGAGTGCACATCAACAACATCTTCATTCTAGAAGTTTTGTTTTGTGGTGATTGGTAAAATATTTCACACTTGAAAAAGCATGTAGCCTCAGTGTCTACAGCTTCTCTAGATGTAACAAGGCTTGAAAGCAGTAAAGCTGCTATAGGTTAAATTTATGTGGTAGCTTAGTTATGCATTTTTAGGTTTAGAGTAAAATGCACTCAAGGTCCTTAACTTTGCCCGGATTTGCACATAGGTACATAAACTCTCAAAGAGAGGATTATAGGTCCTTCAACTTTTTGAGTGCGCTCGATATGCACCTGGTTTTCGCTTGGAGAGTGAACCACCTAAAAGGTTTAACGACCTAAATCCTCATTTTGAGAGCTTATGGGCCTAGGTGAGAATCCAGGAAAAGTTTAAGGTCTCCAGGTGCATTTTACTCTTAGATTTATATAGTGATACTACCAAATTTTTGCTTAATCATTTCACATTCACCTTATCTATTTTGTGTTCCAGGTTCTGTTTAGTAATGAAAAAATTGGAATAGGAATCGGAAAAACAAGAGATGAAGCTCAAGTTCAAGCTGCTGAAAAAGCTCTCCAAAATTTGGAGAGTGAGTATATATCCTCTACATCTTGTGTACACCAGGCTTTGCTATGTACTTAAAAAGTTACTTGTAATAGATACACCTGAGCAACCGAGCATCCTGGAAGCACTAAAATGCTTTCATGTAGTTTTATAGAAAACGTCCTTTTAAGTGTCGGTAAACTATCTGAAGATGATCTGTAAATGCTTTACTATCATTGTGTTTTATGTTTTGGCAGCCTATGATTTTTCATGCGATGGATCAGTTTTCATCTTGGCTTATCTATTGGGTTTTTAGATTTTGTCAATTGGTACTGTTTGTCAGACTAGCTGTAGGCACATAACATAAGCTGGTTATATCATGTCTGATTAATGGGCACACAGATCACCTTGTCCACGGAAATGCAAACCAAATATTACAGCTGGGTCCCCATTGCAATGTGAAATTTCTGGTGGCAGTTAGCATCAATAAGAATAGCAGCTGACCGGGAGTGCTTAATAACGCAGTATATTTGAAATAACTCATTCACTAATTTGCATACTTCTCAATACCACTCTGGTGGACGTTCCAGTAATAGATGTTACTCCTAGGAATCTGGAAACAGCACTTCATTCAATATCCTCTTAAGAAATTTTATTTGAAAAGTAAAGTAACTTGTGGGTAGGTTTTCTTCACTGTTCGCCTAAACGGTTGTTTAGCCTGTTTAAAGTTTAAACCCGTTTAAATGCTATACGGCTGTCCACCATTTATGTTTAATTGACCGTTATCCTGTTAGCCGTTTTGCCTGTTAATTGATCATTTAGCCTGAATAATGACTAAACAGTAGGAGACCGACTGTTACCATTTACAGTTTAGGAAAACACTGGTTTCTTAGAAACAGAGGATAACTCTTTTACATCGAAAGAACAATCGATCATTCTTTACTGGGCATGTTTGGGAGTTTTCAGCTTTGGCTTACTATCTGTGTACAAGTTTGTAAATAATAATAAGCTTACTTACCTTTGTGAACTCCTTTCCAAATTTTTCTTGTTTGAGAGCACTTGGCGGCTAGTTTTATGTGCACTAATAACTTAATGGATTGAATTGCAGGCAGTTATTTGTCATCTGTTGCTCCAGTTGCCGGAGTTCCTAAGAAAGATTCAAGGAAGTCCCCGGGGAGTGGTAATGGCTTTCTGGAGGACGCTCCTTGTTCAGAGAATGATATCTCTATGCGAGAACCTTCTGGAAGTACATTGAAACTGGATGATTCAAATAATATGGATAAGTTGTCGTCTATTATGAGTCTTATTAGAGAACATGTAAGAGACTATGTTGCACTTGCCATTATTTTTGTCCATATACTATTTTGATGCGCTGTACCTTTTTTTTTCCAAATTTTGTTTCCTTCATTAAATGCTAATTTGCATCTAATATTGTAGTGCTTGGAGGACCAACATGTAGTATTTCGAGATCAAGTCCAGAATTCTAGCCCAGCCAGAAATGAAGAATATCATTTCCAGGTTAGTTACTGTTCATGCTTAGTTTTTTCTTAAACCTGATAGTTCTGGGCCTTGTGGCCACCTTATATTGTAATGCATTAAGGTGTCGTGGTTCTAAACTTGAAAACACAGATTTGAGTCGCACCTGTGACTGTCACTAGCTTTTGTCTCTACTGCTTATAAGTTATAAGTGTATGAACAAATATAAGAGCAGCCAGGTTTTGCTAATTGAAAAACAGTTGTTTTGTTTTTCTTCAAAAGATGAAACAACCTAACCATTATTGGGAACTGGCTGGCTACCACCTGTTTTCTTGACTATTGACGGCTGTTCAGAATTTAATATTTGCATTCAAATTTAACTTGCCGGCAGTTTTTAAGAAACTGATCTGATTTGGATGGCTTGGCCCCAGCACCTTTTGCTGGCTTGTTAATCATCCGCTATATTCTCTTTTTGAAGGTTGAACTAGCAGGATTGATTCTCGGGAGGGGTGTTAGTTCGGACAGAGAAGCTGCGAAGCTTCTGGTACTGTGTTTTCTAGTGCTTCCCTTTTTAAAATCTTGTATATCTGCATTCATTGCCACATTAAATTGTTTTTTTGCATCTGGAAGTGCACTAAATTTTATGCAGATGGGATCACAGTTCAGAATTGCATTGGTAACCAACCAACAACTATCCGGTCTAGAGGAGATTAGTACACAGGTTTAGGTGAAAGTAGTCTTCTGTTACTGTATGTAAACCGTTATCAAAATGGGGAAACAAAGTTAGATAGAATTGTGAACATATTATGTACCTTTTTTTAGAATTGAAATTCATTTTCACCTAAGTAGTAATGAATTTCAAATTGTTTCCATATTCTACATGCACTTCTGCAGGTAATTGATTACCCAAATCATTAATAACTGGAAAAGCAAAAATAAATTGAGTGGACTGTCTAACGTGCTGCATTCATTATTCAAAAGAATGTGCTATTTTGTTCTGGCAAAAACTCAGCATGGTACAGTTTTATAGGACTCGAGATCTCAAATTTGATATAGAGTCATGACAAGTTCTCAAACTTACTTTCACGTTTCTATTGGGAGATGGTTGTCTCTTTACATGTCAAAACAATTAGCCTTGAAAATTTCTCTGCACTAGGTCATTTCTTGGGTGCCCAAACCAAAACTTCAGATGTGGAAAATGGAAACAAATTATGCATATGATTTACAAAGAAACAAATTATACCTGCAGAGCAGCAATGGAAAGATTACTTTCATCCGCACTTGTATCTTTGGAAACAAATTACTGCAGCTTGGTTTAAACAGTAATCGTTTCAACTGAAAATTTAATCAAAATAAGAAATCTCATTTGAGCAGTTTGTTCAGGGTTTATGCCATGCCAGTTACCAGTCAAATTGGCTACTTGACCCATAGTGGAATGTATAGTCTTGCGGGACACCTTCAAACGATGATGCATTCTATATGTGTTTCTTTCCTCTGAAAAATATAGTATTCGTTAATTTACTATGTAGCTAGGATCGTGACAAATGTAATTGCCCTCAAATACACAAATAATTGTTAGCATAATTACATGGTGATATGTCACTTTGTTGCGGAAGGCTGACGGGTATCAAGCACTATATTTTACTTTTGTACTCAGTTATTCTTGTCCCACCTCTTTTGGTTGCAGGCTGCAGAAGAGGCACTGAAGACCTTAAAATCAACCACCGACCCACAAATTAAGAAGTATCTGAGACCTGTAAGGTAATAATTTGACTGTTCCACTTTTTTGCTTTTAGGATGTTTTCGCTCTTCAGTTTATTTTGTAACTTCTGTAGAGTACAGAATAGCTTGAATTTGTTTATTATTGTGGTGTATTTTGTATCCTTCATAGAAAATCGTCATATTTGGACATTTTGGGTGGAATATTAAATGTTTATTGTGTGGTCAGTCTTACGGTTTCCTTTTGTCCTGTCTATTTCAGATGCAATGGCTGATTTCCTTCCACGCTCTGAGCTCCACAACCAAATGAGTTTAATATTCAAGAAGGATGGAATGTGGTGCAACAGCTCATTTCACCGTTACAGATGTCATTGATTTCGCAGAAGTGCATCACCCTTTCTGTGAGTATGGTTGGCATCTCACTTCGAGCACATGATGTGTGTCAAACTGTAAGCACATGTCTTGTTCTGGAAAGCCTGGCTTTGAAGGTGGTAACATAGAGAGCGGAGATGGTGCTTTATGGATTCTTTTGACCATCTTCATCAAAGAATCTTCCCATGTACAACTTGTTCCCATACAAGTATAGATGTTCTGTCTTGTTTAGGATAGTGCATAGTTGGCTGTAAACAAGTAGGAGAGTAGATGTGGATCTAAAATTCTAAACTGTTCTGAAGGGTGTGGTGACTCATTATTAACAGTTATGGATCGTTAAAAATGGAATGCTTGTACCAGTTGTCATGTTTACATGTCTTTTATAAATGGTGCTAAATCCTTTACAAACTTATTTCAACCATGAATACATTTTCATTCGAGTGCTAATATTTGTTGAGTAATACACTCACATCTATTCCTCTTTTGGAGTTACCACCACAGATTCGACTTCTCATGGAACTGAGATTTGCCATATTGTACAGATGGAGTCTGCCTTCACAACAAGCGGATAAGAAGTGGATTATTCTCACCTTATTAGTCACTATTTCTAAACTTAACATACTTGCAGTACTAGTTACTTATCTCCTAGTAATTGCTATATGCAACACAGTGCAGGGGAAGACGATGATGTTTGCTGCTGTTACTGGAGTTTCTTACTGGAGTTTCAGTTACAATCCTCAGCGCTGACGTTTCTTTCAGCGTAGAAATGTGATTTGAAGGCATAGGTGATTCCTTCAAAACAGCAGGTTTGCAACATATACACGACGGTTGCTGAAGCTGAATATCATGTTCTTGTTGTGCCGATCTGGAAACCAAGGATCCGGAGCAGCTGCTGCATGGCTTTCCCGGCCCAGGCCAAGTCGTTCTCAAATATACTTGTCGGCCTATTCGGCAGCAGATCACCTCCCTGACACAAGGTAGTGTCGTCGTCGTTGCCATTGCCAGCATAATCATCGGCAGAAGGGGTGCCGTTTTGTTCTCCGGGGACCTCTTCAAGAATCGTCTGGTGTTTGTCCACCATCAGCTGATTCAGAAAAGAGAAGAATTGCCAGGTATATATGCTTCTATACGGAACAAGATGTGCCCCGGGGTTGTGGTTACCTGTGGTTGGTCCGTTCCATTTGCTGCTACCATTTCCCCCTGCAGAGGAGCATCTGCAACCACCGCAGCCGACCTGTCGGTCTCCAGATTCTGATGCTTTTGGGGATTATCTGCCTTATCTACCGGCGTTGCGCCATTTGTTCCTGCAAGATCCTCGGAAAACATCGCATCTTCTTCCCCGATGGAGAGCTCTTCCTCCTCTGATACTTTCTGTTTGTTGCCGTGATCCCAGTCTTCGTGGACAACCATGGTGTTTGGGGTTTCAGTAATTTGCAGAGTTCTGTTAGTGCCATGCTGCCAACGGACATGCCCCGAGGCATCTCGCAGCAGGAACTTGAACTCGATCGACCTGTTCGCCGGCAAATCCTGGTCAGACAAACGATCGAGTCAGACTCACATAGGCAGGGTCGCTGAAGGAACGCACTTACACACGACCTGGGAGCTCACCGTCGTCGCCGTCCAGACGTGGCCTTCTGACCAAACCAAGGCGATCGCCTTAGCTGGATCCCAAAGTCCGAGCGCCGCGTCGTCGCCGACGACGAGGAACTGCTGGCCAAAGGCGCACTGCTTCCTCAGCACGAACTTGACGCGCACTGTCCTGGCCTCAGGAACTGGCAGGGTCAGATTCGCGAGACGTGCCAACGTTAGTTTAGTGTTTTTTGTCGTCCGTATAAACCACACCACTGACATGAACCTATTGTTCTTAAACGGCTATTCGCACGACCACTGGGAGTAGAGCTCATACCGTCAGCAATAGCAGCAGCAGGAGGCAGGAGGTTTTCGGCCGAAACTAGCGAGTCCAGATCATCATCCTCACCCACCTGCACCAAAATCAATGGACTTCATATAGTTGTGTGAATCTGTGATCGCGAATTCGCGATCGAAGCTTCTGGTAACAAGCCAACGACCTACGGCAAGACGACATCGGATTACCTCCAGCGCCACGGCCTCCTCGCCCAGGGATTGCGGCGGGAGTGGCTCCCCGACCCCGAGCGACGCGACGAGCAGCCTTCTTCGAGCGGCGGACGGGGCGGGGCCGACGGCAACGCCGTGTTCCCACGCCCGCCTGCGCGCCCTGCTGCCAGGACGGGCCCGCGCGAGCAGCCCAGCGCGGTACGCCACGGCCGCGATTTCCATCGGTTTCGAGCTCGGCGGATGCATGGTGGTGGTGGCTGCCAGCCTACACGGAAAGAGGCGGCGTGCCGTGCCGTGCCGGGTCGTCGTCAGCTGCGCAGTGCCAGTGTGCCTCCGCAGGTGGGCTGCGGGCGGCCACTGCGCTTTGGCCACTTCTGGAGTGGTTTTACGTGTGTGGCAGTGGCGCGCCAATCGCGGGGTGTCTGTGTGTCTGTGTGGCTGTGTGGTCGTGGTGACTGTGGCAGTTAGCTCGTCGCCGGGGCCCTGCCCTCCTGCTCCTGGTCTCGCGCGTCAGGATCCGCGCGCGCGGGGTTTTCGTTTCGTGCCCGTCTGCTCCCGCCGTTCGTTGCGTCTGACGACTATGATTCATTCGCTCCGCAACACGGCGGTGCCCACCAGCAACGGACGGTCCTGGCTTCCTGTCCCAGACAAAACGACAGCGATACATTGCCGATATTGTTTGGGTGAGGACGTCCGGCCGATCTGCGCGGGTCCGGACGCATCCTCGCTGGGCCTGCAGACTCCTTGCTGGCCCTGCGGACGGGCGGCCAAGGCACGGGGAACAGTTTTCCCCACTCCTCACTCACTCTGAATCAGCACCTCACCAGACCGCGGTCGCGGCCACATCCACCTCGCCGTCCGCGGACTCCACCGGGCGGCGCGGCGCCTCCACCGCACCATCCACTCGCTGCGGCGGCCTCCATTGCGCCGCCCCGCCCCTAGCCCCTGCCGCCGCCGCCTGCCCGCTTCGCGCCACAAGCGTCGCATGCGGCGACGGTCTCACAGGCCGCTCCCCACTCGGCCGACTGTCACCGACCGTCTCCACGGTGTCATCCTACCGTCATGACGACCATAGCGCGGCCCGCCTTCACAGGGATTGTGACGATTGCCTGTCACCCCAACCCCAGCGGTGCAGGTACCACGCCGGTTGCCTGCCTCCCGCCCGCTCCTCCTTCTCCACCGCGACCAAACGCTGATTCCGAGTGATGCATACAAGATCGAGCGAGGATGTGTGCGCCTGTCAGGCCAACTCGCCCAAGAATGACGAGGAGGCGGATGTTAAGCGAGGACGTGGTCATGGCAAGGCCCTGGCAATGGCGGAAGGGTCCCCAACAACAAGGCACGAGGGGGTCTAGCCGAGAGCAAGGTCCCCAACAGCAAGGCAGGCCAAGCATCTTCGAGCAAAGGACGAACCAACATCCCTGTGAAGAAATCTCCAATGAAGAAGGTCCCGAACCAGCAAGGTATGACATTGAACATGTAGCTCCAGGGTACCTGAAGCATCTCATATGCACATTTTCAGAATTCATAAATGCAACACACTGGATGATAGTGTCTTCAATGTATGTTGGTGGTGCTTGCTAGGCAGTAGATGCATATATCCAGTGACTGCAGATATTGAAGGAATATAATTGAAATCTTAAGATCAGACATGCCATTACTCTTTATTGCATCTCCAATGGATTTTCTGTTTATCATATATGGTCACATGTATGTTAATTCCTGCTGGGGCTAGTGTCGGATAGCAACTTTGAACATGTATGCTGATTCCTGCTAGGGTTAGTGTTGGATAAAAACTTTGAATATGTTTCATTATGTTGTCCTGTGTTGTTTCACCATGATATGTCCAGTGTTTCATGCCTTCTTCATATTTTTTTTGCAACAATCAACTATAGGGCATCTATATATTGGCATGTTTCATTTTTTAAATGTGATGTGTTATCGGCACATCTATGCTGTCCACCTGCGTGTTGGAACATGTAGCAACTTGTGTCTACTTTTTTATGCGTTATTATGAACTGTGTACCCCAATTTTTGGATTTGATTTTAATATGTTATTTTTTGTCTTTTTTACGTAGGAATTAATGCTCCCAAAACCAAAGGCAAAGGCAATGGCGACCCCTTCACAATAAGATTTTCAGTCCACAGGATCCGTGACCACGAGTTCAGTCAAGATCGGATAGGGTGGATTGAAGAGGTTGGTTTTGGTGCTTTACTTGCCATGTCTGAGTTTTCCATGCCTGTGAAGCTCGTTGCATGGATCGTGAAGCACATTGACGTTGATTTGAGAGAGTTTAGGCTCAAGCATAAAGTCATTGTACTTGACAAGCAGCTTGTTTGCAACATTCTTGGTGTGCCTAGCGGAGAAGAGCCTGTTAAGCTTACTTCCACCGCCGATCAATATGAAGCCTTCCAGAAGATTCGTGAGCCTTTTATGGATGGATTCAAAGGGAAGTAGCCCAAGTGCATGGAGGTGTTGACTAAACCTAAGGACAAGGGCTCTTTTATGAGGGCATTCATGTTGCTTGCCTTAGGGTATGTACTCTGCCCAGGAACAAATAATGCAACCACCCCAAGGTACTTGTACAACTTACTGGACGTCTCTAAAATCAAATCATTTGACTGGGCTGGGCACATCTTTGATGCGTTGATGAATCAAGTCCGAAAGTACTAGACCCATGATCCTCAAGTTGAAGGTGCTGCCGCAAGCCCCTACGTTGGCTCCTGCCTTGCTGTTTTGGCGGTATATTCATTTTTCCTTTTGTCTTATATTCTTTTTTAGTCCCATTGCAATAACTTTGCTAATCTGTTTCATTGGTACCACCTCATGTGTTGCAGTAGCTATCTATATATGTTTCAGTACATATGTTTTCATATACTTCAGCCCTGATTTTCTACTATTTCAGTGGTACTACCTCATGTGTTGCAGTGGCTATCTATACATGTTTCATTACATGTGCTTCCATATACTGCAGCCCCAATTTCCTAATGTTGGGCCTTCATGTTTTTTTTCAGACCACCTAGCGCCCGGACGTCCGGCTTTAGCGCGCGTCCGGACGCACCTCGCGCCCGACCGGCTTCACCGCGTTGTCTCGTTTTGATTCGAGTCGGACGCACCAAATAACGTTTTGAGTCGATCCCACCAATCCGAACAGAGCTTCACTCGCCAGTCGCGGCATCCCACGCTCGCGGGCGGCCAGACCCTCCGCCGCGCCGCATCCCGCCGCGCCGCTCGTCCCCCAGCCATCCCGCCCCACGTAGCCCATCCCCTCACCATGCCCCTGCACAGTAATCACCGCGTCTAGATGTCTCATCTCCTTTCCAACGTGGAGTTCCCCATAGGGCGTCGTCCCCCGCCGATTGTTGAGGGCCGTGAGGCAGATCTATGGTTAGAGGGACGCAAGGAGGGCTCAAGCTTCGTCTACGGTGGATTGGAGTTTCGTGTTGCAATTGCCAGGGGCAAGGAGGCGGTGGAGATGAACCCTTCTTCAAAACAGCATGTAAGATGTACATATATGACCCCATGTCGCAATTTGCTTGAGTTGTGTTGTTTCAGACTACAAATTTCTGAACATTGGCGATTTGGAACCATACTTTTGCAGTAGATGCTCTGTTTTACTACTGAAACGTGTGTTACAATACTACTGAAACACTTACCAGATTCCACTGCAACAAGAATTCTAGGTGCCTGTGTATACCATGACTAGCTGCTCTGTTTTACTACTGAAACATGTGTTACAATACTACTGAAACACTTACCATAGTCCACTGTAACAAGAATTCTGGGTCCCTATGTGCACCATGACTAGATGCTCTGTTTTACCACTACCGAAACATGTGTTCCATTACTCCTAAAACACTAAACCAGATTGAACTGCAACAAAAATTCTAGGTGCCTGTGTGTTCTATGATACCCCTATTATGTAGTTTCCTCACATCTGTAACAAAATGTGAACTAAACCAAATTTGCAACACTCTGAAACGTGCAGGAGGGCATGATTGATGGGAGAAATACCGTTACTGGACATCATCAGATTGCTGGAACTTCAAGCGCTAACATGCCTATTGCTACAACTTCAAGCGCTAACATGGTTGTCTATGTTTCAAAAGTATGTTTCTAGGCACACTCTAACCGAATTTGTTTGTTTACATCAAAATAATTATTTGTTGTTGACTGCATGTGTAATTTGACAACACATTTGCAACGCAGGGTTCCGTTGGCCCTAATCTTGATCAGAGTCTTTCTCATGGGGCAGAAGGTCAGCCATGTGAGGTTGTTGAGGTGGATATAACTGATGACGAGGTGGTGTATGAAGAAGAAGAGGACGTTGTAAGCTCCTAGCCGGTGGTTCCATTTGAAGGAATGGAGTTTGATACACTAGAGGAAGCAAGGAGGGTGTACAATGCTTATGCATTCAAGATGGGATTCAGTATCAGGGTAGGCTCATCGAGAAACAGTTGTGTGAGTAAGTAGTTGATAAGGAAGGAGTTTGAGTGTTCGCATGCAAGGATTACACCTGGTGGAAAGGAAGACAGTGCATCAAGTAATGCATCATCATCAACAACGACCGCATCCAAGAAGAAAAGCGCAACAGCCATAATGATTACTGCAACAAGGAAGCGGAGCACGTTGAAGAAGGCAGATTGTAAGGCACACATGGCTGTGGGTCTACATGAGGGAAGGTGGAGGGTTGTGGTGTTTCAAGCAGAGCACACACACCCTATGGTGAAGATAAAGGGCAGGGTAAAGTAGCTGCAGTCCCACAGACGGATATCATGGGCAGATTATGAGCTGTTGAAGACACTGCACCATCAGAACATATCCACCATGCAGATCATGTCGGTGTTAGGAGACTTTTATGGAGGCATGGGAAACCTAACATTCAACAGTAAGGATGTCTCCAATATGAGGACACACTTGAGGGCAGGAGTACGGTACAGAGACATGGATGCTGCCCTAGAGTACTTCCAGAAGTTCCAAGCCGAGAGCCCCAGCTTCTTCTATGCTGTCAAGCTAGATGTTGAGAATGCAGTGAGGGGGTTGTTTTGGGTTGATGGCAGATCAAGGGAGTTATACAAGTGCTTCAGGGATTGCATATTCTTTGACACAATGTTCTGCACTAACCGGTTCAACATGCTCTTTGCGCCGATTATTGGGATCAACAATCACACCCAAAGCATCCTACTAGGTTGTGCTTTGCTTCCGGATGCGTCGGTGTGAAAAGTGATGAACAAGTAAATATTTG